CACTCAGGAATTACGCCTGGCGGTGCTCAGGGGACCATATGGGATGCTGGGAATTGAACCCGGGTCGACTGCATGCAAGGCAAATGCCCTACCCGCTGTGCTATCGCTCCAGCCCCAGTATATGATATTTTTGACGTATTGTTTGATTTGGTTTGCTGATATTTTGTTAAGGATTTTTGCATCCATATTCATCAGGGATAGAGGTTCATAGTTTTCGTTTTAATGATATCTCTGCTTTCAGTATTAGGGTAATACTTGCATTCTAGAAATTGAGAGCATTGTTACTTCTTCAACTTTTTGGAAGAGCCTGAAAAAGATTGAGAGAAGGTCTTTTTTTTTTTTTTTTTTTTTGGTTTTTTGGGTCACACCCGGTGATGCTCAGGGATTCCTCCTGACTCTGTGCTCAGGTATTATTCCTGGCAGTGCTCAGGGGACTATATGGGATGCTGGGAATCTAACTTGGGTCAGCCATGTGCAAGGCAAATGCCCTACCCACTGTGCTATTGCTCCAGCCCCGAAAAAAGGTGATTTCTTAAAGGTTAGGAAGAACCTCTTGGGCTCAGTCAGACTTGTTTTTGAAGACTTACCATTTCAATTTCCTTGAAGTTTTGGTCTGTTCAGGTGCTCTGTTATCTTTTAATTCAGCCTTGAAAGATTGTAAGAATTAAAAAATTTATCCATTTCTTTTAGGTTCTCCAATTTTGTGGTAAATGTTTTTTATAGTAATCCTTTATGATTACTATAAAATCCTTGGGTTTCTGTGGTAGCCATGATATCTCTCTCTTCCCTGCAACAGATTTTTGTTTGTGTTGTTTTTTTGTATCACCATGAGATACACAAAGAAACTTTGTCTTGTTTTGATTTCAGCTTGCAGATTAATTTCCTAAAATATATAGACATTAAAAACATAAAATCTCAAATCATCATTGTATTTAAGGATAATACCTAAATTACCTGGATTACCTAAGTGGAATAGGGAGTGGGAGCTTATAGTTCTCAAATTGTTTGTTTGTGAGGAATCTCTACAAAAAATAGTATCCTAACTAGTGTTGTTTCCTTGTAGAAAGAAGCATTGAGAAAATTTGCTTTACATGTGTGTGACCTGGGTTTGATCCTAAGCAGCCGAGACAGTCCCCCAGTCCACCAAGAATGATCCCTGAACACAGAGTCATGAGTAAATCCTAAACACAGCAGGGTGTGGCTCTCCACACACAAAAAAAGAGAAAAGAAGTTATGTTGCAATTCTGCTATGGATGAGTGTTTTTTCTTTTAATTTAATTTAATTTTATGAAGTTATTCACAATAATTTATTACATTTAATATTCAAACACCAACCCCACCACCATTACACCTTCCCACCACCAAACTTTGAATGTTTCTACCCGACTCCCAAACCCTACCCCCAAGCAGGACCTAATTTATGTATTTATTTATTATTTTTTAAAAGAGCATTACCAAGCCGTTCATAATTGGATTTCAGTCATAAATTATTCCAACACCCATCCCTCAACCATGTACATTTCCCAGCATCAGTGTCCGCAGGTTCCTCCCATAACCAACTCCCTACCTCCTGCCTGCCTCTGTGGCAGCCACGCTCTCTCTCTCCTCCCCTCCCTCCCTCCCTCTCTCTCCTCTTTCTCTCTCTCCCCTTTCTCTCTTTTTTCTCTCTCCCTTCCCTTTCTCTCCCTTTCTCTCTCTCTCTCTCTCTCTCTCTCTCTCTCTCTCTCTCTCTCTCTCTCTCTCTCCCCCCTCCTTTACTCCTTTTGGGCATTGTAGTTTGCAATAAATAATTTATTTTGTATTGCTGGTTATGAATAATCCACTAAAAGCAATTCAAAAAAGTCTCCTTAGAGGAAAGTGTGTGATGTTTATAATGTCCCGGAGACATTATAAACCCTAGTATAAGCCATAAAGGTAAGGTAAAGGCCCTCCCGTTGATCGTCGATTTTCTCGAGCGGGCCCAGTAACGTCTCCATTGGAGACTTTGTTGTTACTGTGTCTGGCATATCGAATACTCTCGGTAGCTTGCCGGGCTCTCCGAGAGGGGCGGAGGAATCGAACTCGGGTCGGCCATGTTGGCCGCTTGTAAGGCGAACGCCCTACCGCTGTGCTATCACTCCAGCCCCTTATTAAAGGTTGAGCCTTGTGTGTGTATATATGTATTTTTTCTTCATCCCTGATATTGGTTGCCTTCTACATTATACTCCATCAAATGTGCTGCTCTTGGTAAATCAGTGGTATAGAGTACGAGATAAATGAGATGCCCCAGAAATTCCAAAATTTTAAGTAAGGTTATATAGCTGAGGTTAATTTATTATTATTATTTTAACTGGATGGTGATGTGGGGTCTGGAGGCGTCTCTGCAGCGTGTCAGTCTGTGTTGCTCTCTTTCGAGAGATTTATTTGGGAGTCTCTGGATCATGGCTGTTAATGAGCATATATGGCACCAGGAGCAGTTTGTGGGCATGACAGCCAGGCTCCCGGAAGCACAGGGCGAAGTGAGTTCCCCTACCCTGACTCCATGCAAGCCTGGAGATCTCAGCCAGAAGTCCCGCATACCTGGATTTCACCATGGATGAGACTTCCGAGCCTGCGGAGACCTGCCGTGAGTGTGGCAGCAGTTGAGTTCTGGAGGTTTTCAGCTGCCGGGCTCTGTTTGGGTGGAACTCACGCACCTCTCTCTGGGTTGCCCTGGATAGACAACCCTGCGTGGGATCTGGAGGCATCTCTTTGGCGTGTTGCTCTGTGTTGCTCTCTTCCAAGAGATTTATTTCTGAATCTCAAGTATTTTTTTTTAAATGTATCTCTGACCTTGAGGAGCAACTTTTTTTAATACATTTTACTATTTTATTTTATTTTGTTATTGAATCACCATGAGATACATAGTTAGAAAGCTTTAATGATCCAGTTTTAATCATATAATGTTCCATATATCCCTCTACCAGTATACATTTCCCACCACCGATGTCCCCTGTTTCCTTCCCACTCCCCTGCCTCCCCTCCAGCATGGCTCTATGGCAGGCCTGCCTCTCTCTCCTCTCTCCCTCTCTCTCTCCTCTCTCCCTCCCTCCCTCTCTCTCTCTGTCCTCCCTCCCTCCCTCTCTCTCTCTCCTCCCTCCCTCCCTCTCTCTCTCTCCTCCCTCCCTCTCTCTCTCCCCCTCTCTCTCTTCCCTCCCTCTCTCCCTCTCTCCTTCTCTCTCTCTCTCTCTCTTTCTCTCTCTCTTTCTCTCTTTCTCTCTCCCTCTTTCTCTCTCTCTCTCATTCCTTCCCCCACCCCCTTTTGGGCATTATGGTTTGCAATACAGATACCGAGAGTCTTTCATGTTTGGTCCTTTATCCACTTTCAGCACACACCTCCCCTCCGTAGCGATCCCTCCCAACCATCATTGTCATAGTGATCCCTTCTCTATCTTAACTGCCTTCTCCCCCAGCACTTGAGGCAGGCTTCCAACTATTTACCAATCCTTCTGGTCTTTGTTTCTGTTACCCTTGTGTGTAAGTCTCATACGACATTTTTTTATATCCCACAAATGGGTGGCATCATTCTATGTGTGTACCTCTCCCTCTGACTCATTTCCTTCAGTATGATATTCTCATATCCATCCACTTGTAAGTGAATTTTCAACCCTTAACAAAACTTATTAGAAAGTATTATACAAAATGTAATGAATATACAAATATACAATATTGTGTGCGCTTTTATTCCAGGGTGCAGGGCACATCTGGCAATGCTTAGGGGTTTCTCCTGGCTCTGACTCAAGAATTAACTCTTATTTTTTTTTAATTGATTCACCGTGAGGTACAGTAACAAAGCTTTCATGTTTGAGTTTCGATCATACAGCCATCCAACACCCATCCCTCCACCAGTGCACATTATCCACCACCAAAATCCCCAGTACCCTCCCCCCATTCCACACCTCCCCGCTTGTGTGGCAGACAAGGAATTAAGTCTTGGTGGGGCACAGGAGACCATAAGGGATGCTGGGTATCAAACCCAGATTGGCCACATGCAAGGCATGCTCCCTACTGCTGTACTAGCTCTCCAGCACCTTTAAATAAGTAATTGTACTTGTTAATTTGCTTTCTTTAGCTTTCTTAAAGAAGCAACTAGGAGATAGGTCTGCTCAGGGATATATTCCTTGCATATTCTAGGACCCAAGTCTTTTTCCAGACTCTCTTCTGTCTTTTTTTGTTTTCTAGAGATTTCCTGCATCTCATCTTAGAGCTCTTTGCTCTTTTCCTCAGCTTCTCAGATCTTTGAATTTTTATATCATGTGTCATGCTCTTCATGCTGTCATTGCTGATTATAGTATGTTTTGATGATGTGCCTTTGTTTCTTTGAACTCATTAAGCATCTTCAACCTGAGCACCACTGGTTGGGTGTGGTCAGCCCTCGCAAATAAAAGAATAAGTAATAAAAAAGTCCTCGACATGATGTTACTAAAGTCATTCTTGGAGAATTTATAGAGCTGGTTGGTGATGGTTGAGCTTTCTGACTTACTGTCTTCACGCATGTAAATTCATTGGACCTCTGTGCTTCTTCCTCATTTATTTACTGTGTTCGTGCTGTGCTGCAGCTGAGTCATTAGGCTGTGTGTTGCTCTTTTCTTTCTCCACTGGTCTATACCCAGTGATTAAGTCTAACTGAGCAGTGTGAAGTTTGAAGAGTAGAACTGTTGCATAGCTGAACTGGACATGCTGATAGGATAGAGGTCAGGTATGGAGGCTGTGGAGGCCCTCACTGGGAGGGGCAGGGTTCTGCCTTGGTTTCAGAAAGGCATCATAGTTGTCAGCCTAGAGATGGGTCTCACCTGGAAGGATTGGGGAGCAAGCAGAGGTTCAGGAAGGGATGGAGCGGAACATGGATATAGCATCATTTCTTATTTATTACAGGAGTGGCCAGTTGTGTTATTTCATTATTTTCTCTCACCCAGTGGGTCAAAGGAAATAAAAATAGTCTTACTGTTATTTCTCTTCTTTTAAAATAAATATGATTGTAGGCAATGCCAGCCTTCCATGTCACCTTACAGTGAGGCAGCACCAGTTCCAGTTCCCACTCAGATAAGAAATTACCAGCGAATAGAGCAAAATCTGGCATCTACTGCCAGCTCGGGCACAAATATACATGGTTCTCCAAGGTAAGAGAAGTTTTTTCTTTCAGTATTTTTTACTTAAAAGTTTTTGTTAATGTTACTATTGTAAGTTGTTACTGCATGTGTGTATGTAACTGTAAATATTGAACATTAAAAATAACTTGTAATATATTTAAAAGACACTTAAGTTTGGTAGGGTATAATCTTTGTATATATTTATCAACAAGTATAATTACTTCCTGGTTTGATCCCTGGCTCTGCATGTGATCCCCTGAGCATTACCAGGAGTAATTCCTAAGCCTGAAGTCAAGATTAGTTCCTGTGCTCCAGAACAAAACAAAACAGACAAACCAAGTACAGTTACCTACTTAAGGATTGAGGAAGAATTTGTTAAAAAATGAAATCCTAAAATCTGATGGATGGGTCATTGGTTAGATTCCCTGCTTTGCAAGAGTAAGGCCATGAGTTTAATCCCTAGTGCCACTAGTACCCTGTGTTGTCTTGGCAGCTTTGCTGTTTGTGCATGGCAGCTATGCTCTCTGTGATTCCCACTGCTGCAAATGATTTCTGGGTGTGCCTTGGACAGATGTGTGTAAGGGCTGAAATTGAAGGGGTGTGACTCCCATTCAACACTGCATTTAAAAAAGATGTGTGAGGATTGTGACCAAGAAGTGCCACCCCTGGGAAGCAGTACAGTTAGAATGTGCACAGTGCCAGAAGTAAAGGAATAAGGTTGACAGTGAACACTATAGCTTAGTATGCAGGCGCTGTGACCTAATATCAGACCCTGGCAAGAACCACACAACTAAATGTGCTAAAGTCACAGTCAGGATGTGTGTGTGTGTGTGTGTTTGACCTTCTCACCCTTGTCATCATCACAACAGTGACAGAGAAAACAGAGAAAATAAGAAGTATAGCAGATAATTTGCATAAAGATTATTTTTTTATTAGCAGAAACTCCATGAGGTACATATATAGACTTAGAAATTTTTGTGCTTGGGTTTCAGTTATACAATGCTCAAGTACCCATCCCTCCACCAGTGTCCATTTTCCACCACCACGGGTCCCAGTATCCCTCCCACCCACCATCTCCCCCATCCCCCCCTGCCTCTGTGGCAGGGCATTCCCTTTTGTTCTCTCTCTCTCATTTTGGGTGCTGTGGTTTACAAGAGAGGCATTGAGTGGCAATCATGTTTGATCTATAGTCTACTTTCAGCATGCTTCTTCCATTCTGGGAGGATCCTCCCAACACCCTTGATTTGGTGCTCCCTTCTCTATCTGAGCTCCCTTTTCCCCTAGCATGTGTGGCTGGCCTCCAAGTCATGGAGCAAAATTCCTGGTACTAATCTTGGCCACTCTTGGGTGTTAGTCTCCTATTTTGTTACTTTATGTTCCCCAGATGAATGCAGTCTTTCTGTGTCTGTCCCGCTCATAAAGATCTTTCTTGACTTTAGTGCGGTTATACCTGTAAACCTTTCATAAATTGAAAATACCATAAGTCAAAAATGCATTCAAGTGGTCCAAGTGGTTCAGCAGTAGAGAACCTACCTTACCAAGTGTGAGGCAGATGAGTTTGATCTTGAGTTGCTCAAGCGATATCTCACTGCTCTGTTATTTGGAATTCCTAGTGCAAAGAGGCGTGTGAGTACTGTAGCCTAGTATAAACACCCATTCCTACCCTTCTCCCCACTCCCACCACCACTGCAAGTCATTATAGAAACAATATATTGACTTGTGGCCGGTGGGCTGGTGACGTAGAGCAGGGGCCCAAGGAGGTGATGCTACTTGGCTGCTGTGGTGCAGGGGTGGTTCTGGGGACCGGGGTACCCTGCCTGCTTTACTCTATTCTCTGCACTCAGGGGTCACTCCTGGCAGGCTTGAGGGTCCAGATATGGTGTGGGGGATGGAACCCTCATCAGCCATGTGCAAGACTGGCACTGTGCCCACTGTACAGTGGCTCAGGCTCCTCAGCAGTTTTAAAAATACATCTGACTTCCTGAATCATCATTCAGCCTAGCCTACTTAAACATTCTCAGAACACTTATATCAGCCTACAGTTGGTCAGAATATTCAAAATACAGCATAGAGCCTTTTTTCATAGAAAGTAGAATGGCATATAATTTATTGTCTACTATACAGAGTGAAAAGCAGTATCGTGTGAGTTTATTAGTGTAAGCAGTTGAAGGCACACTATGCCTGAAAAATGTTTGAAGGATTAAACTAAAATTAGTTATTGGTGATGAAGATGCCATAGTGACAGGGTCCTCAGTTTCTCCCCAGATGAGGCTGGCAGAGAGCTGCTAGGGGGTTGTATATCTTTGTGAGTACAAGGCAGACGAGGAGTCGCAGATCATGCTGCAGCCCAAGCCCAGAAAGTCAAATTTCAAAGTAGAGTTTCCACTGAATGCATACCCCTCTCTCACCATTGCAAAGTGGAAAATTCAGAAGTTTTGAAGTTAAACCATTATAAGTCAGAACTATCTGTAATTTATTTCTTCTACATCCTGAGACCCATCCCCACTCAGATAATAATAAAGGTAAAAAGACGATGTGAGAACACTGTCGTTCAAAGGCTGGAGAGGCAATGGCCTTGCATGCAGCCATCCTGGGTTCAATCCCTGGCACCTGGTATGGTCCCTGAGTGCTACCAGGTGTGATCTCTGAGCACAGAGCCAGGAGGAAGACCTGTATACCAGCCACCAGCTGCAGATCCTCAAGTCCCCTTACCCAAACAAAAAAATAGAATACTGTATTTCAGCACATAATTGTTGCATTTTTTAATTATTATTATTATTAATATTATTGCTGGTTCTATTCTCAGGGATCATTCCTGGCAGGGTTTGGGAGATCATATCAGGTGCAAGGCAAGTGCCCTCCCTACTGTAATATCTCTCTGGCCCCAACTTTATATTTAAATATTATAAAACAGAGTTAAAGTATTTAAGACAGGTGAATCAAAGATAAAAATATGAATAAAAATGCTTTGCAGGGATTAAGACATTCCAGAAAGAACAAGTAAAATGGTAAGGAAGGAAATTTCCCAGGCGGGGATGGGGTGGGGTCAGGAATGTCACAACTTTCTGAAATTAATGGATACAAGATTATAGATTGACAGAACTCTTCGGACAAGAGTTGAACACACACTTCATGCAAGAAGGCATACAGATGGCTAATGGGCACATGAAAAAGGTGGTTCTTATTATTACTCATGAAGGAAATGGAAACCAAAATGACAGATACTACCTCTCACGATTATGGCCTGTATAAAAAAAACAGACAGCAGATGCTGGTAAGGTTTGGAGAAAAGGGAACATTATTCCTCATTTGTTGTTAGTGGGGATGTAAATTAAATTAGTTCAACCTCTAGAAAACATGGGAATTACTCAGAAAATTAAAAATAGTACAGTCATACGATCCAACAGCTTTTCTCTGATTGCTGTTTAAAGAACACAAAAACACTAACTCAGAGAGATAAATGTATACCTGTAACAACCCAGTAAGTGTCCAACAATGGATGACTGGACAGAGAAAATGTGGAGGGCCAGAGAGACATCTCAGAGCACCAGAGGGCATGCTTTGCATGCTGGAGCCCTGGATTTGGCACTGTGTGGTCTGCCCTCTCCCTTTCTGTCTCCAGGAGCCATGAGTAGTGCTCAGGCATTGCTGGGTGTGGCCCCAAACAATATAGCACACACTACGAAAAGTGAACGCTTAGCCTTTTGCTATAACAGATGAAAATGGAAGGGTCCATTGAAAAGGAGAAATAAATTTCAGATTATCTTATGTGGTTTGTAAAGAAGTAAAGCAAGGGAAAAGAAAGTGTCCAATGAAAATAGACCCATAGACTCTGCATTACTAAGGTTTCCAAGGGAGCCTCAAGTATATTCACGGTAGTGATGTTGAAGTGCCTTTTTTATTATTTACCATCGTGTGCCATGGTGCAAAGGAGTAACTTGGTGAAGCAGTACATATGATTTGTCTTTAGAAAATCTTGGGCACAGGGATTTAGGGGATGCCAGACACATTACTGGATGTGACCCCAGTGTCCCTGTGTGCTGTTAGGATGGTGGTTCTGATGGTCTCTAAGCAGCATCACACTCTTGTCTGAGCATTGAACTCTTTGGCTAGTGGGCTGGGTATTATGATGAGTTGCCCCTGGCCCCCTGAGCACTGCTTGAGAGACCCCCCTCCCCACCAAAAAAAATCTAGCCTTGAGGGGCTGCGGGAATTGCTTAGTCATAGCTCTAGAGCACGGGCCTTGCCTGTATCAGGCCCTGGGTTAAGTCCCAGTGCCAAGGAAAGAAAGAATGAAAACCTCAATCTCAAGTGGAAGCAGGCATTAAAGAACTTTCAGTGTGAGCTGGAAGCCGGAGTATTGCCCCGAGTAGTTGCCTCTCCTTTTTATGGAGGGTGGTGGTTTGGCCACTCCTGGGCCATATGCTCAGGCATATTCTCTCCATATCCTGTTCTCTTAGGATTGTTCCTGGTGTTGCCGTGGAAGCCATGCAGTACTGATGATCAAATCACTCGGCAGTGTTTGTTTGTTTGGTTTTTCTTTTTGATACGATTTAGCTGTAAGCGGAACCAAGCCACTTTTTTCTTGCAGCATCATATTTTTTTTTTGGGGGGGGAGCATGCTCAGTCATACAATGTTCCGACACCTGTCTCCTTAACCAGTGTACATTTTCCACCACCAATATCAATGATGTCCCCAGTTTCCCTCTTGTCCCCCCCCCCCCCATCGCCCCCTCCCCTTTAAGGAGTCTTATGGTTTGCAATGCAGATGAAAGGTTATCAGGTACATCCCCTATTTTTATTATTATTTTTGGGTCACACCCAGCGATGCTCAGGAGTTCTTTCTTCTTTTTTCTTCTTCTTATATTTATTTATTGAATCACTGTGGGAAAAGTTACTAAGCTTTCAGGTTTAAGTCTCGGTCATACAATGGTCAAACACCTCTCCCTTCACCAGTACTCATTTTTCACCACCAAGAACCCCAGTATACCCCCCTCCCACCCCTCCCAATGCCTGTGAGGCAGATGATTTCTACTTAACTCTTCTCTACATTGATTACATTCATTGTTTCGACAAAAGATACACCATTATTGTTTAGAATTTCCCCCCCACCAACAATCAGAATTGCTGAAAAGGCATTGTGAAATACTTTTGTTTTCTATAGCTGGTTATGAGAATCATATAATCTCGTGTGGCCGCAATAGCGGCCTCGTGATTTTGGATTTCTACAAAGAGCCAGATAATTATGAGATTGGTTTCTGTGTGTCTGGTGTTATGGCTTTGCTGGAGAGCCACTCGTGGGGGGCAACTTGTGACCTCAGTAGGGTGTGAAGGACGAGCCAGTACTGCCCCCCTTCCCATGAAACTGCAGTTGCCCCCTCACCGCTGTCTCATACCTGGCTTTCCTATAAGCTCTGAGGTGGCGGCCACCTTGCTGCTGGGGGGGGGAGGTGAAAGGCTGAAGGAAGCAACACCCTTTCCCTCCCGGGGAGGCATGGTGCCGTAGTTTAATGAATGGTCCACTCACTTTTCTGCCGCAAGCTGCTGGGCTCTGAAATAAGTCCTTTTGCCTCTGGAGCCATGGCCGTGCCAGAGAGCCGCTTGTGGGGGGCAACTCGTGACCTCGGTAGGGCATGAAGGACGAGCCAGTACCGCCCCCCTTCCCATGAGACTGCAGTTGCCCCGTCACCACTGGCTCATACCTGGCTTTCCAATAAGCTCTGAGGTGGTGGCCACCTTGTATGCAGTCAGATGCATTTCTGCCAAAAGACGCTGGGTTTTGAGATTTGTTTCTGAGTCTCTGGGATCATGGCTGTTAATTAGCTTGATCAGGAGCCAGAGGGGCCATTTGTAGGCGGCGACTCGGGGTCTCACTGGGATGGGGAGGAAAGGGCCGGTTCCACCCCCACCTGGTGAGGCCCCACATGTCTCATCACTGCAGGCCCAAACGTGACTGTCCAGTGTCCTCTGGAGAGTGGTGGTCACCGGGCTGCCAAGGGGAACGGGCCAAGGTACGCAACCTATTCCCACCTGGAGTGGCCCAGCCCCAGTAACCTACTGTAGGAACAGGATGCATTTGTGCCAAAAGCCTTTGGGTTCTGAGATTTGTTTCTGAGTCTCAGGGATCATGGCCGTTAAGCAGTTCGATCAGGAACCAGAGAGGCCATGCCTCCATTTATATAGCTGAGCCAGAGGTGGTTTGTGGGTGTGTCTCCCACAAACCTAACTTTTGGCTGTTTACTTTCTTGGTAAACTTTGCCCCAAGTTTTTTGGGTCTGGCCAAAGGCACAGCAGCAATTTTGGGGTATCTGAAAGTCTGACGGTGCGATCAGGCTGCTGATGCACTCGCCTCATAGGTACAGATTGACCTGCTGGTGGCACCATACCCCCAGGAGTTATTTCTGGCTCTGCATTCAGGAGTTACTCCTGGCAGTGCTGGGGGGACCATATGGGGTGCCAGACATTGAAGGCACATGCAAGGCAAACACCCAACCCACTGTACTATCACTTAACCTACTTTCAACACTCAATTCCTGTCCAAAATGATTGTTTCCAATTATTATTGTCATAATGCTCCCTTCTTTATCTTATCTTCTCTATCTTAACTGCCCTGAGCATGCTGGGTTTACCCCCACCACCACAATGGAATTTAATATAAGAGTACAAGATTTTGCTGATATGATTTCAGATTGTAACTAAGTTTTCATTTTGGGGGGTATTCATATTTTAAATAAGTTTTTTATGGTGGTAGGTATCATTTTATAGTAGTGTTTAAATCATTACGGTTGTAGAGCTGTTACACCATTTGAAACTAATTTTTTAGAAAATTGACTGATTAAGTTTTAAGAGTAACACTGTTACCTGAAAAACTACCAAAATCTCTCCCTTTTTCCTTAAAAGGAATGTTTTCTTCATATACTTAACCTAAAATAACATTGTAGAATAGATTAAATACAGAAATAATCCTGAGGAATCAGCATCACCTGAGTCAGACACTAGAGTCTCATATGCAAAAAAGTAAAATATGTGTTTTTTCTTACCAGTATTTTATGGGATGAACAATAATTTTTCATAATTTCACATATAAAAAGTTTAAGTTCTCAGTTTTGATTTTTTTAATTTAGTATCAATATATATACTTGCATCAAAAAACCTTAGAGATTTTTATGTTCAAAATGATATATATTACCTTAAGAGAAATTAAAAATTATGCATTCAGTTTTTATATAAATTAAGGAACTTTGGGAAAGTACACTAAAAACTAAAAATAGTGATCACATTCAGCACAGGATTGAAGAATTGGGAATAGGCACCTCTGCGCCTAACCAGGCACCAAAGTGATAGGGTTTTATTTGATTTTATATTTGTTCTATGGCTATTTTTTACAAATTCACTCTGTGGTATTTTGTTAGGAGGGGAAAGTCAGAAATAAAGGGAGTTCTAGACCCTTCTGGAAAGGGAGTAATGTTATTGCTTTTTTCAGATCTGCAGTGGTGCGAAGGTCTAACACCAGCCCTCTGGGCTTTCTCCGGCTGGGCGCCTGCTCTCCTGCACCAGCAGACACTCTCCAGACTGTCGGGCGGAGACTCTCCACGGGCTCCTCCAGGCCTTACTCACCTTCTCCTCTGGGTAAGGAGAGTTGAAAGCAGTTATTGGTCTTCTGTCTCATGTCAAATCTGGGACATTTTCTCACTGGAACAAGAGAGTCACATTCCACCATTCCAAATGTATGCCATTCTCAAATGCTCCTGAGAATCTGTAAATCTCTTAGCATCTCTCATGGAAACATAATCATATAAAAGAATCTTTTAGATTAAAAGACATCTACTGGGTTTGGAGAAATGTGCAGGCAAAGCTTTGCCAGAGCTTGGTGAAGCACCTCTATTAAAGGCGAGTACAGGGCCCTTAGAGATGGACAGTGGGGAGGGCACCACCAGCAGTCATTTCTGAGTGAAGAGTCCGAAGTGGCTCCTGAGCATTGCAGTGTGGCCCAGAAACCAAGACATAAAGAGAGAAAGCAGCAGGCTTCTTAAGAACACTCAGGGCTGACCTGAGGGGAAGGGAAAGAAGAACCTCTGACTACAGTGAATTTCCTGGAGATTTTAGCCAGGTTGAAGGAGTGCCCTGCGCCCTGAGGTATAAGGTTCCCTGACCTTGAAAGGCCTGCATTGGCCTCACTGTGTGCAGCTGTGGGGAGCAGCGTGGGGAAGGCCTTGGCAGGACGTGGTAAGTGCAGAGGGATGGCCACGCACTATCCCTCACCTGTGCTCCTGGCGCTGCACAACCCTAAACATATCATACAAACTTCGAGCTACTCTGTTCCAAACACATACATATTACAGGCATGGTTTTGTTCATGTGACTCTCCTAGTCACTATACTTCCAGGGATGTCATACGGTGTTTTTGATCTTACGATCAGCAACATGTTTGTTTCTCTGTTAAGTATTAAGCGAGCCAGTTCTTTGCTAATCAAAATTTGCAAACTATAACTATGAATTTTGTGCTTGTGTTGCCTATTTTTGTTTCTGATTTTTAATCATTTTTTCTTCTTTTCCCCTTTTCCTGCTTTGTAGTTGGTACCATTCCTGAACAATTCACTCAGTGTTGCTGTGGGCATCCTCAGGGCCATGAATCCAGGAGTAGAAACTCATCAGGTCAGAGATAGAGTGGTTATATGAATAATTTAATTCTGTTATATGTGGATTTGAGTTACATTTTTTTAGGTTTATCAAAAAGACGTGATATCATAAAATGTGTTTTGATATTTTTCTCTGATGTATTTGGTCTATTTTAAAATCTTGGCCTTTTTTTAGCATAGCATATGTAGATAGGTAACTCCTTTTGAGTATATTGTTTCTTTATGGAAATGAGTCACTGTTACTGTCCTCCCATTGTTCATCGATTTGCTTGAGTGGGCCCACTAACATCTCCATTGTGACGATTGTTACTGTGTTTGGCATATCGAATACATCACGGGTAGCTTGCCAGGCTTTGCCGTGCGGGCGAGATACTCTCGGTAGCTTGTCGGGCTCTCCGAGAGGGGCAGAGGAATCGAACTCGGGCTGGCCATGTTGGCTACTTGCAAGGCAAATGCCCTACCTGCTGTGCTGTTGCTCCAGCCCATGGAAATAAGTTCATCGATTTACTCGAGTGGGCCCAGTAGCGTCTCCATTGTGAGACTTGGTTGTTACTGTGTTTAGCATATCGAATACGCCACGGGTAGTTTGCCAGGCTTTGCCGTGCAGGCAAGATACTCTCAGTAGCTTGCCAGGCTCTCCGAGAGGGGTGGAGGAATTGAACTCGGGTCAGCCAGGTCATCTGGGTGCAAGGCAAATGCCCTACCCACTGTGCTATCGCTCCAGCCCAAAAACTATTAAATATTAAAATTTAATAACAGCATATTTTGGTCATTGTCACACATATAATGAAAAAAGTCTTTAATCACTATCCTCCCGTTGTTCATCGATTTGCTCGAGCAGGCCCAGTAATGTCTCCATCATGAGACTTGTTGTTACTGTGTTTGGCATATTGAATATGTCACGGGTAGCTTGCCAGGCTTTGCCGTAATGAAAAAAGCCTAGAAAATGAAATATTTTTGTTTTTGGACCACAACTGCTAGTGCCCAGGGGTCACTCCCAGTGGGCTCAGGAGATCATATGGGGTGCCAGGGATCGAACTGGGGTGGACTGCATGCAAGGCAACCGTCCTGCCCACTGTGCTCAGGCTGCTAGTAAATAAAAATTTTGGTTTTTTTAAATAATTTTATTTTTATAAACTAGCACTGTCCTCACATTCATTGTTCATCAGTTTGCTTGAGCAGGCTCCAATAATGTCTCCATTGTGAGACTTGTTGTTACTGTTTTTTGCATATCGAATATGCCACAGGAAGCTTGCCAGGCTCTGCCATGCGGGCGGGATACTCTCGGTAGCTTGACAGGCTCTCCGAGAGGGACGGAAGAATTGAACCTTCCGGTTGGCAAGCCTATAGGGTGTGCAAGGCAAATGCCTTACAGGCTGTGCTAACGCTCCAGCTCGTTTTTTTTTTTTAATGAGTAGTTCACAATCTTTGATTACATTTAATATTCGAACACTAATCCCACCACCATTACACCTTCCCACCACCATATTTGGGATGTTTCCATCCTGAATCCCAATCTCTGCCCCAAGCAAAACTGAAATAATTCATGTTGTGTTGTTTGTTATGAATAAACTGCAGAAAATGCTCCAAAAAACTTTCTTTAGAGGAGAGTGTGTCAAGACTGTTGTATTTCACCCACAGGGCCATTAAGCCCTTCTGTAAGAGTATATTATATATACCTGTAAAAAATGTATTTCCCTCTAAGATTGGTTGCCTTCTGCTTTATTATTATTATTATTATTATTAGTGAAACATCATGAGGTACAGTTATAGACTTACAGATTTTTGTGCTTGGGTTTCAGTTATATGATGATTGAGTACCCATCCCTCTACCAGTGCCCATTCCCCACCTCCAATGCTCCTGGAATCCCTACCCCCTCCCATTCCACTCCACCCCTGTAGTTGCCTTCTACTTTAAACGTCCTCAAATGTGGTATGTTACTCTGGGAGTATGAGTGGTGTGAGGTATGAGATGTGGCATGGCCGCAAATGAAGCCATGAGGTCCAGGGATAGATTCACTCGTGAGTGAGGCTCATCCAAGGGTGTAGAAAGCAGCCGTGAGCATGGTGGAAGATGAGTTCTGGAGGTTTTTGGCTGCAGGACTGGGTCCCTTGGGCCAGAAAGGGACCTCACCCGCCCCCCGCTGCAGGGTGCCCTGAGTGAAACAGCCTGACATAGGGTCAAGTAGCACAGCTCTGGTGTGTGTATTGTTATGCTCCCTTCCTAGAGAGGACAGTGAGTCTGGATTGTGGCCATTGACGAGATTATCTATCACCCCTATCACCTCCAACTCCTGCTGCCTCTATGCTCTCTCTCTCTCTCTCTCTCTCTCTCTCTCTCTCTCTCTCTCTCTCTCTCTCTCTCTCTCTCTCTCTCCCCCCTTTTGTGCATTGTTTGCAGTACAGGTATTCAGAGATTATCGTGTTTGTTCGGGTTGTTCACTATTTTTATCAGGAAGGTACAGCTAAAGTAGCTTTTATTTTTAACTGCTTTCAGTGGCGGCTTTGGGGTGTGGACATGACTGCCATGGCTTCTGGAAGTATGGGGAGGTGGGGGTAGGTTGCCCATCTTAACCCTGAGAAAGCCTGCAGATTTCAGTCATAAGACTTGCATACCTGAATTTTAGGCAGATCAGTTTCTCGGTCCATCAGGAGATGGTGGAGTCCGTCCAGGGTCATGGCGATTTTGGATTGTGGAAGCAAGCAGCTGCCGAGGCCTCTGTTTGGGCAGGCACCTGGCTGACCCTCCTCCATCTGATGTACTCCTCCTCCTTCACCTCCCCTCTTTCCCCATCTGTTCATCCTTGCTTGGGTCCAAGATTAACTGCAGCTTTTGATCTCTTTCAAGATTTATTTTTGAATCTCTGAAGCAAGGCCGATAAATAGGCTTGTATAAATAAATGGGCTCAGCTGGAGGTGGTTTGTGGGTGTGGCTCCCACATACCTAACTTTTGATGGTTTAATTTTGTGGGAAACTTGGTCCTAAGTTTTTGGAGTCTGGCTAGAGGCCCAGTGGTGATTTGGGGGGATAAGGAAACTTGAAGGCCCCATCAGGCTGCTGAAGCACTCGCCCCACAGGTACAGGTTGACCTGCTGGCATCACCGCTGCCCTGGGCCTGGTGACCCTGGCAGCAGCAGCCTTGGCAGGAGCCAGAATCAGGGCCAGGGCTGCTACCATTTGCGGCCTGGGCACTCTGGGAAGGCAGGAGCCACTGGGCAGCAGAGCCTGACCAGGGGCACATGCCCCCTCCTGGGTCAGCTCTCAGGCAGGTTTTCCTCCATAATCACTGCAGGTGCTGTGGGCTGTCTGGGGAGAAAAGGGCGGTGGGGCTGCCCCGTGATGCGGAGTTGCTGGGCCCCAGGGTGGGAGCTGGAAGCCCCCTCAGCTCCAGGAGCTGCGCTCTGTGTGGGTGCTGAGTGGGACCTGAAGAGCCCCGACTCACACACGTTAGACTTCTGCCGCCCCCCGCAGCGCCGGGAGCTGGTGGTTGAGCCTGCTGGCTGCTGGGCTCTACCATCCCCCCGAGTCCTGCTCGGGCTGGCTGTGGCAGGGGACTGGCCGGTGTCACTGAATGGTGTTCTCCCCGAGATAGAATATGCAGGCGGCTCCCACATTCACTCACATAGCAGTTTCAGGACCCATGGTCTGCTGAGAGCGCTGAGAGCTGTAGGCCCTCTGCCAGCCCTGGCGCTTGCCATGGTGCCCCTCCCCCCACCCACCTTGCAAGTAGTGGCCTGTAATCCTTTCCTTAATCAAAGCTATAGGTAAAAGATCTCTACTGGCGTAAGAGATCATTCAGCTAGAGCACATACTTTGCAGCTCAGAGCCCTGGGTTTGATGATAGGAATCAGCAGGGCGGGCTCCCTCCCAAGCACTGCTGAAAGTGAACCCTTAGCTCTGCGCCCCTCAGCTTCCCCCACTCTCTCCACCACCAGTAGCACTGGTTGGGATCACAGACAAGATGATGTTTTCCAGGTGTGTGACTATGACAATCGACATTTCACAACAGCAAAGGGAAGAAATGAGAGGGGAAAGAATTTATATGCTTCATTATGTATAAGAGTCATGCTTTATATAATAATTCATGATTATAAGTCAGTTTTTAATATATGTACATCTGAGAAGTTGATCAGTTTAAGGATCCTGTTACTTAGGAAAATAGGCTTTTCTAACTCATATTTAATTTTCTAAATAATAAAGTGTATAGTTAGTGAGGCCTTGCATGCTGCCGACCTGGCTCACTGCCCGGCACTGAGTATCCTTGGGCACAGAATTAAGCTCTGAGCCCCCTAGGGTATTACCCAAAAACCAAAAAAGAAAAAGGAAAACATTGTTCCAGATAGCCCAAAGGAATGGGGTGCAGGCCTTACGGTTGCAGGTTTGACCCCTGGCACTGTCTGGCCTCCCTAAGTACCACCAGGCCCAGATACTGAACCATCAGACATATATCATCTTAGATTTGAATATTTCTAGGCGGGGCCTCTCCAACCAAGCTTGGGGAAATACCTCTCCCCCCACCCCCAATATAAGCTTTCTCTAGGAAATAATATTTTACTGCCAGTTCAGCTTTTTTTGTGTGTGTGTTCTTTAAGTTAGCAAAAACAATGTTTGGGGGAATGTTTTCCTTTTGTTGTTCCCAAATGTTCCTGTACCAAGTCCCTGCCTTTCAGGCTCTTCGTAAGAGAGCCCTTTAGGAGGCGAGAGTATTTGAAAACACTGACAAATGTTTCGTTTTTTAAAAATAGGAATATTTTAGATTTTAAATGAATGTTATTAGTAAGCTGGCAATATGCATACGATACATGTATGCTTTTTATTTATTTAATTTGGTTTAGGGCAGCACCTGACAGTTCTCAGGTCTTACTCCAGGGATCGCTCCAAGGGTCACCCCTGGTGATGCTTTGGGGAGCACGTGAGGTGCCAGGGACCGAACCTGGATCAGTAGTGTGCCAAGACATGGCCTGCCTGCTTGCTTTGGACTATCTGTCCTGTCTATAACTGTCTGGACTATCTGTCTAGCCCCTGTGCTTTTTATTTTTAAGTAAAATAAACTTTAGGAAAGATGTACTGTATCTTTTAGTTTTCTTTCTTATATAAATTTCTTTATAGGGTTAATTCTGTTTGAAATTTTACTTTAGTTGCTATTTGAGAAAAAAGAAATTTACATTATATACCCAAGGATATATTCATATAAAGTTTGGAAGTCCTCTTGCATAATGTAGGTTTTTCACTCACTTTAACCATTAATATTGCAGATGTCTTTGGTGCTGTTTAGATCTTGCATTAATTTAGAAACCTCCCATCCAACAACAATGTATTTGTCATTGTTTTGTAAAGAGTTCCAAAAAATAGTTTCTTGCTAAGCAAACTTGTGGACGTCTTAGGAAAAATGAGGTATTTCTCAGCATTCTCATTTTATAAGAGTTTTCTTCTCTATTTAGGAGTGGGGGAGAGCTTGCAGTGCTCAGAGAGCCCAGGGGTTACTCCCGTTAGTGTGGGCTCTGCTCTGTGGGCCTGGTGTGTGGGGTCTGCTATGTGGGGTCTTCAGGGTTCTCGGAGAATCATGCAGTAGTGTGGGCCAGGCTCAGGATCTCCACGTGAGGCCTATTCTCCTGGCCCTGTTCTTCGTTTTTAAAAATTTGTTTCATGTGGGATTTCTTTTTGAGGGGTGGCTTGTTTTTAAGTGCTCTTCATGTTGGGAAACTTCATTTCCTTCACAGGTTCTCCGGTGCCTCAGGCCCCGTCACCGCAGTCTCACTTACTGGGTGCTAGGCTGCAGAGCGCCCCCACCCTCACTGACATCTACCAGAACAAGCAGAAGCTGAGGAAGCAGCATTCGGACCCCGTGTGCCCATCCCACGCTGGGGCTGGCTACAGCTGCTCACCTCAGCCCAGCCGGCCTGGCAGCCTGGGGACCTCCCCCACCAAACACCTGGGGTCCTCTCCACGGAGTTCTGACTGGTTCTTTAAGACTCCTTTGCCAACAATCATAGGCTCTCCAACTAAGGTGTGTTTGTTATGACTGTTAAATTAATATTTATTTTGAAGAGTGCAGATTGTGGATGTTGGCCTATAATTCTCTATCAGACCAAAAGATAAATCACTCAGCATAGACTTACCCAGGGGCCCCAGAGAGAGGTCATAGCAGCGTGCATGCAAAGAAAAGGAGAGAAACATGGAATACACACCTTATAAAGGTCTGTGGCTAGAGTACTTTGGATTTCCTGCAGAAAGGCTAGGCTGGCTAATTCAAACCAGAAATATTCTGGTTTATATTCTGCTATATTCACAGGAGATTTATCCTAAAAGGTGTATTGGGAGAGGCCTCAGGATTTGGGGAGATTGTTAGTCATAACATCTGTTAGGCAGGTTATTTCATGGACTTATATTTGCTTGTAATTCTCTGTAGGCTGATTACTAGGGCTTGAGTTTGCATGATGGGTTGTTTAGGCCTCTGTAGGCCACTTGTTCCAGCAAAACGGATGCCAAGGCAGCAATATCATGAATTAGCTTTACTAAACTTTCACAGTGGGTCATGAACTAGTATAGTTAAGTAAATGCTATATAGAAAGGATTTATAATGAGAATGACTACAATGTAGTACATACTTGCTCACTGCCATGCACAGTGTAAGTAATTCATCTGTTGAAAGTTTCCTATACATTATTCTATTAAATCCTGATAATAGGAAATCGAGGCATAGAAGAAAGCATAAAAGGGCCATTCCAGGTTACAGTGGAGTGGTGAGTCTGGAGGCAGAGCTGGAAGCTGCACCTGACCGACTCCAGCCTGTGGTCCAGACCTGCACCTGGCTGATCTGACTGCTTCCAACAGTGTAGTGATTTTCTTCTGTTTCTTTAGACTACAGCTCCTTTCAAAATCCCTAAAACGCAGGCATCTTCCAACCTACTAGCCTTGGCTACTCGGCACGGACCTTCTGAAGGACAGTCTAAAGATGGGAGTGACCTCCAGGAGTGCTCTCATTGTCTCCTAGTGCAAGGAGGCGAGAGGCAGAAGTCTGAGCAGCAGAATAAGGCGGTCTTTGGCAGGTACAAGACACCACTTTCTTTCAGCCTTAAACATAAAAACGAGGGGCTGGAGAGGTAGCACAGTGGGTTGGGCGTTTGCCTTGCACACGGCCGACCTGGGTTCAGTTCCCAGCATCCCATATGGTCTCCTGAGCACCGCCAGGAGTAACTCCTCAGTGCAGAGCTAGGAGTAACCCCTGTGCATCGCCAGGTGTGACCCAAAAAGAAAAAAAAAACATAAAAATGATAGCACAGCGGGTAAGGCGTTTGCCTTGTACGTGGCCGACATGGCCGACCTGGGTTTGATTCCTCCGCCCCTCTCGAAGAGCCCGGCAAGCTACCGAGAGTATCTTGCCCACACGTCAAAGCCTGGCAAGCTACCTGTGACGTATTTAATATGCCAAAAACAGTAACGACAAGTCTCACAATTTGTTGTGAGACATTACTGGTGCCCGCTCGAGCAAATTGATGAACGATGGGAGGACAGTGCTATTATAACTAATAGCAAGCATTTTTATTTCTGTTATAATCTAATTATGCCAAATTTTAATGACTGGATATGCTAAAGCTTAAGTAAAGTGTAGTTGATGATATGAACTGTACATTTAGAATCTCCAAAGGACATACTTGCTTCTTATAACTTTAAATACAGAGTTCTTCTTGAATTTTCTGAATGTTATTTTTGTGCTGTGTTTGATATAGTAAATTTTTTATCATTAAAATGTCTTCCTTGAATCGCTTTTTGTATATTTTTGTTCTCTTTGTTCTCTTATTTCCCATTAACCATTTAAAGGTAAAGGTAAATGTAAAGGCCCTCCCATTGATCGTCGATTTGCTCGAGCGGGCCCAGTAATGTCTCAATTGGAGACTTTGTTGTTACTGTGTTTGGCATATCGAATACTCTCGATAGCTTGCCAGGCTCTCCGAGAGGGGCAGAGGAATCGAACTCGGGTCGGCCATGTTGGCCACGTGTAAGGCGAACTCCCTACCACTGTGCTATCGCTCCAGCATAACCATTTATGACTTACATAACCATCCTTGTTACTTAAAGGTATGGTGTTTTTAGCAATGTTCTTTTCCACTATTAACATCACTCTTCCTTCTTTTTAGATCTGTTAGTACCGGGAAATTATCAGATCAACAGGTAAAGGGCCCTTTAGGACATCAGAGCAGCACTGACAGTTTAAATACAGAACGACCGATGGATATAGGTAAGAAAAACTCCTTTTAGATAGTTTGGTACATATGCATTAGTTTCTTTTTTTCTCTTGCAGATGTGTTTTCTTGCCTTGACAAAGTGTCAACACTTCATTGCTTATACATTATTTTATAGCTCTGCAGGTTAAATATGGGGTGAAGTGGGTCTCATTGGGCTGAAATTAAGATGTTGGCAGGGTAATGATCCTTCACAAGGCTTTAGGGGAGAATGCATTTATTTGCCTTTTGTTTGGTTTTCTGGAGGACTTACACCTGGTGGTGTTCAGGGACTATTTCTGGCTCAGCGCTCAGAGTCACTACTGTTGGTGTTCAGGGGTGCAAACAGGTCTCCCTAAATGTGGACCATGGCCTCTAGTTCTCTGAGGTATCTCCCAGGCTGTAGATCCATGCCTTTTCCAGATTCCAAAACATTGACCTCATTCCTTCTTTAAGTATGGTTTCCTTTACTAGTTCTAACCCCTTTACATTTGCTACTTTGAGCTGAGAAGTAGTTCAGTGGTAGTTTAATCCCCGCACCACATGGCCCTTCAAGTGCCACTGGGAGTGACCCCCGGGCATAGAGCAGGGAGTAACCCTTGAGCATAACTGGTGCTTTTTCCCAATACTCCCTCCAAAAAGCCCTATAACTGAAATTGCTATTTTTGAGGTCTGCAATTTTGTTCAATAGCAGAGTGTGTGTTTTGCAAATGTGAGGCCCTAGGTTCTGTCCCTGACAGTGAAAAATAAACATAAAAAATACGTAAATTTTATATTAAAAATAGCTGTTTTTTATAAAAATCTTTGCTTAATTTGACACAAAACCTCTTTTTTTTTTTTTTTTTTTTTTCCCCTTTATTTTATTTTATTTTTTTTAAAGTTGTAGATTTACAATTTTTTGTGCTTTGGTTTCAATTATACAATGATCAGATACCCATCCCTCCACCAGTGCCCATTTTCCACCACCATGGATAATATCCCTCCCACCCCCATCCCCCCATCCCCCCGTCTCTGTGGCAGGGCAATCCCCTGTGTTCTCTCTCTCCTTTTGGGTGTTGTGGTCTGCAAAAGAGGCATTGAGTGGCAAACATGTTCAGTCCATAGTCTACTTTCGACATGCATCTCCCCTCCTGGGAGGATCCTCCAAACATCCTTTATTTGGTGCTCCCTTCTCTATCTGAATAGCCCTTTCCTCTAGGATACCCGGCTGGCCTCTAAGTTATGGAGTAATCCTCCTGGTGCTGATCTCAGCTATTCTTGGGTATTAATCTCATACTTTGTTACTTTATATCCCCCAGATGAATGCAATCTTTCTATGTCTATCCCTCTCTTTCTGACTCATTTCGCTTAGCATGATACTTTCCATATTGTACCACTTGTATGTAAATTTCATGACTTCATCTTTTCTAAGAGCTACATAGTACTCCATTGTGTAGATGTACCAAAGTTTCTTTAACCAGTCATCTGTTCTTGGGCATTCAGGTTTCTTCCAGTTTCTGGCTATTGTAAAGAGGGCTGCAATGAACAAACAAGTGCAGATGTCACTTCGACTATACATTTTTGCCTCTCTGGGATATATTCCCAGGAGTGGTATTGCTGGGTCAAATGGGAGCTCAATTTCTAATTTTTTGAGAATCGTCCATACTGTTTTCCAGAAGGGCTGAACTAGTGGACATTCCCACCAACAGTGAAGGAGTGTCCCTTTCTCGCCACATCCACGCCAGCATCGGTTGCTTTTGTTCTTTTGAATGTGGGCCAGTCTCTGAGGTGTGAGATGGTATCTCATTGTGGTTTTGATCTGCATCTCCCTGATGATTAATGATGTAGAGCATTTTCTCATGTGCTTTTTTGCCATTCGGATTTCTTCTTTGAGAAAGTTTCTGTTCATTTCATTGCCCCATTTTTGGATGGGGTTGGATGTTTTCTTCTTGTGGAGTTTAACCAGTATTTTGTATATCCTGGATATCAACCCCTTGTCAGATGTGTATTCGGTGAATATCCTTTCCCATTCTGTAGACTGTCTTTGTATTTTGGTCACTGTTTCTTTGGAGGTGCAGAAGCTTCTTAGTTTAAGATAGTCCCATTTATCTATCTCTGTTTTCACTTGCTCGGCCAGTGGCGTGGCATCTTTGAAGATACCATTAGCTTCAATGTCATGGAGGGTTTTGCCAACTTTATCTTCAATGTACCTTATGGTTTCTGGTCTGATGTTGAGGTCTTTAATCCATTTTGATCTTACTTTTGTACATGGTGTTAGGCAGAGTTCTGAGCCTATTTTTTTGCATGTAGCCGTCCAGTGATGCCAGCACAATTGACACAAAACCTCTTTGAGGGCAAGTTTTTGTTTCCTTTTGTAAATGTCTCCTTTTTATTTCCATCTATAAGCTGTTTTTTTAGAAAACTGGATGTTTTCGATAGTGTAGTAGTTTGTACTGAATACTGGTCCTCAGAATCCCTTGACTCTTTTGTGGGTCATTTGGTTCTGACTGGACTGACTGGAAATCTGCACAATTATTCTGGAACTCTATTTGGCCCTAGTATGAAGTCACAAAGAAGACATAGACTTGGGTATATGTAAAGTCACCCTTCCATAGCTGTTTTTGAGAACTTCCCTTGGTTCTTTCTTTTCACAACTCAAGCTGTCTGCCTCAGTTGGTATTGTACCTAGCTTTTTGCATCTACTGATTGCCAGCTGATTGTTTTATTATTTTTGTCAATAAATAGGTGGTGAAAAAAATTGTTTCACAGTTTGTTTTTGTGAAATTGAATTAAAAGGGCAAATTAAATTGCGGCTCTTTAACAGAAATCATTGTTGAGGCCACACTTCCTTTCCCACCACAGGGTGCCCAGGGGAGTATGGGGGCTCTCCTTGGCTGTCTCTCAGTTCACTTGTTATTTTTACTCGGGAGTCACTCCTGGCAGGATTCAGGGAACCATACAGGCTGCTGGGGATCAAATCTGGGTCTTGCAGAGGAAGAGACCTACCTTCTGTACTATTGCTCCAGTCCCCCAAATATTCATTGTTTCTAATTGTGCCTTTGATATGAACTTCTTCATAATCTGTTTCAAATAGTATGACAAGAACTTAGATTTTTCTGTTCTCTGTTCCTCCAACCATTAGGGAAATCTGCACAATTATTCTGGAACTCTTAAAGTAATGCCCCTGCCTTGTAAGCTGGACATTCGGTGGAATTAAAACTTTCTGATCTGCTTGGTCTCTCTCTACTGACATGGAAAGTCTGCTAGACTAGTGAGCAGGCTGGCGGGAGCCGTAAAGGCTCTAGAACTTTATAATTAGGCTGCTTGAAGAGACAGTTCTTTCTGAGATGTAGCAGAAATTCTTGACTAAATGCTCCATTTCCTATATTATCTCAGGACAGTTTCTAGAAACTTTAATATATTTTTGTGATGTTAGGCTCTGTTGAACCCAGGTTTTTACAGATGTTAAGTATATGCTCTAAAGCTGAATTACATCCTTGGCCCACTATTTCTAGAGACTTGAAAATACTGGGTTTTTGTTTTTGTCTTAGGGTGGTTTTTTGGTTTTTGTTTTTTGTTGTTGTTGTTGTTTTGTTTTTTTTCAGCCCCCACCTGGTAGGGATGTGGGTTGGGGCGGGGAGGTACTTGGGGACACCGTGTGGCGGGGACTGACCGAGGCCTCTTGGCATGCAGAGCATATGCTCAGTCTGTTGAGCTATCTCTTTGGTCCCTGTTGCTTTGTCTTTTAGTAATGTGAAGGTTTGTTTCTGTGAAGAGGTTACTAAAAGTATAAATAATAAAATTTAAATGTGGGGGCTTTGTTCTTTATTCTTTGAGGCCACCCCTGGCGCTGCTCAGTGCTCACTCTATGTGCAGTGCTAGGATCTGGCTGGGCTTGACTGCTTGTAAGGCAGGTACCTTAACCCAGGTGCTAAATTTCTAGTCCATAAAATATTTTTAATGGTGATCTATAAAGAATTTTCTCATTTTTCCCCCTTTTTGGGGACACACATGTGCCAGAGATTAAATGTGGGTTCCCTCGTGTTAATTCTGAACACAGCCCTTTGAGTCATGTCCCAGGCCCTAAGTTTTCTGATTTTAAGAGATACTTTTTGGATAAATACTTAATGGATTAAAAATTAATACAAGAGTAAAAGTAGGGGGCCAGAAGGTAGTACAGCAGTTAGTACAATAGAAGCAGTTTGGCTTTTCTTCCTCATACCATGTGGTCTTCAAGCACTGTGGTGCAGCTCTGGCAGCCCCTTAGCATCTGTGTGGCCTTGCAGGCTGACAGCACTGTCAGGGTGACCCAGGTACCCCCTAGAACTACAGGGCCCAAATAGCATTGTGTCCTCAGGTCAGTACTCTGAATCGACGAACTAATTGGCCAAAAATCGCTGGTGAGAACATGGTGTTGGAATAAAGACAGATGCACAGATCAGTGCAACAGAGTTGAGTATCCTGATACTGACCATCAAATATATATAATTACCTAGTCTTTGATAAAGGAGCAAGAAATATTGGAGCAAGGAAAGCCTCTTCAAGAAGTGGTACTGGTGGGGGGGCGCCCTGGAGCAATAGCACAGCAGGTAGGGCGTTTGCCTTGCACACGGCTGACCCGGGTTCAATTCCCAGCATCCCATATGGTTCCCCGAGCACTGCCAGGAGTTATTCCTGAGTGCATGAGCCAGGAGTAACCCCTGTGCATCACCTAAAAAGCAAAAAAAAAAAAAAAAAAAAAAAAAAAGTGGTACTGGGAAAACTGGGCAGCAAAAAAATGAACTCAGACTTCTTTCTAATGCCAGACATGAAAGTCATATCAAAATGTATTAAAGACCTCAATATCAGACCTGAATCCACAAGAGATATGGAGGAAAACAGGCAGAACCCTCCATGACACTGGAGCTAATGGTATCTTTAGGGATAGAACGCCACTGTCCAAGAAGTGGAAGCAAAGATAAACAGATGGGACTACATTAAACTTAGAAGCCTCAGATTGCATGTCCTTCTCCCGGAAGAGAGCATAGCATGACACTTGCCATAACCATGCTGCCAGACCCTGCACCACGCTGTTTCACTTGGGGCGCCCTGGAGTGGGGTAGGTGAGACCCTCCCTGCCCCAAGGAACCCAGCCCTGGCAGCCTAAACCTCCAGAACTCAACCGACGCCATGCTCATGGCCACTCTCCACATGCTCAGGCTGAGCTTCACCCACAAGGGAACCTATTCCTGGACATGTGGCTGCATTTGTGTCATAGGACACACCCTACCCAACTCCAAGAGTACCGCAGCACATTTGATGGGGTTTGAAGTAGGAGGCAACCAATCTTAGAGGGAAATTTTTTATATGCACACAAGGCTCAACCTTTAAAACATGTTAGTGATCTCTTATAGAAGGGCTTAATGGCCCCCCTGGGTGAAGTACAACAATCTTCACACTCTTTCCTCTAAGGATACTTTTTTGTAGCATTTTCAGCAGTTTTTCATAATAACTATCCTCCCATTGTTCATCAGTTTGCTTGAGCAGGCTCAGTAACATCTCCATTGTGAGACTTGTTACTGTGTTCAGAATATCGAATACATCATGGGTAGCTTGCCAGTCTTTACCGTGCAGGCGAGATACCAGAAGGGGGAAAAAAAAATAAAAGGAAAAGCAGAAATCAAGAGTGGAAAGAAGAAATGGATTCATTTAGCAGTTGGTGGAGCTAAGACTCACAAGCAGGCTGTAGAACTCTATCCTCTAGACTAAGTCTATATCTCATGAGAATTCATCCTCCCTGTATGTGATGTTTCACCTCAGAGAAGGAAGAGCTCCTAAGACCTCGTCCCAGCTGGTGTTGGTGGCAAGGTGAACCTATTGTTATTGTATAGGGGTGTATGTCCCTTCTGCTCTCACTCAGTTCTGCAATTTGGAATGATGTAAAAGTCTAGCATAGTGGAGAGAATTCTTTCAAGCTGAGTTTCCTATTCAGCTCTGAACTAGGAAGACTTTCTTCTAAGGTTGTTGTTTTTTCCCTATGTGGGCACAAGTGATAAGTGATAAGGCAGAAGGTGGCTCTCTTCATCTTGTGCCAATGCAGATAAACTATCTTGACATATTGTTGGACAAGAGCAGGTTTTGGGTGTTTTGGGAGGGAAGGGTAGGAGGGCATTGGCCACAACCAGTGGTGCTCAGGGCTTACTCCTGGCTCCTCGCTCAGCAGCAATCATTCCTGACAGGGTTAGGGGACCATTTGTGGTGCCAGGGACTGAACCTGGGACGGCCACATGCAAGGCAAGTGTCTTACCCTCTGCACTATCTCTCCAGCCCGTAACAAGTATTAATTTTATTCATACTTATGCATAGGGCCAACTCAGTCTGTGATAATAATAACATAATGTATATTATTTCAATTCTGCTTTGGGGCAGGGTTTGGGGCTCAGAATGGAAACATCTGAAATATGGTGGTGGGAAGCTGTAATAGTGGTGGGATTGTTGTTTGAATATTAAATGTAATCAAATATTGTGAACTACTTTATAAAATTTTTTTAAAAATTTAAAAATAAACTAAAAAGCTTCTTCACTTTAAAAGAAAATTAAAAAAATGTAACCACATCCCCAAAAATGGGGAGAAGAAAGAACAGAAACTTCCTCAAAGAAAAAATGCAAATGGCCAAAAGACACATGAAAAAAATGCTCTAATCAACAAGCGCATCCAGTGCTGGCACAGATGTGGAGAGAAAGGGACTCTCCATTGTTGGTAGGAATGCTGACTGGTCCAATCATTTGGAGAATAATATGAATAATAATAATAATTTTTTCTCATAAAGCTAGAAATTGAACTTCCATATGACCCAGCAATACGACTTCTGGGAATTTACCATAGGGGCCCCAAAAACACACAGCAGAAATGCCATCTGCACTTCTATATTTATTGCAGCACTATTCACTGTAGTCAGAATCTGGAAACAATCTGAGTGCCCCAGAACAGAGGCCTGGTTAAAGAAACTATGGTACAGCTACACAATGGAATACTATGCAACTGTTAGGAAAAAATGAAGTCATGAAATTTGCTTAGAAATGGATGGATATGGAGGTATCATGCTGAGTGAAATGAGTTAGGAGAGGGACATACATAATATGATTGCACTCATTTGTGGGATATAAAAAACATAATAGGAGCTTAATAGCCAAGGACAATAGAAATAAGGATTGTTCCATGTTTGGAAACCTGCTTCAAATGCTTGGGGAAAAGACAGTTGGGATAGAGAAGGGACCACCGTGACAAAGATAGTTGGAAATGATCACTCTGCTTAAGAACTGTGCTGAAAGTAGGTAAAGGAATGAACATGATAACTTCTCAGTATCTATATTGCGAATCATAAGGCCCAAAAGGAAAGAAAGAGTGAGTGAGTGAGGTGTGTGTGGGGGGCGGGGGAACTGGTGGTGGAAAATGTACACTGATGGAGGGATGGGTGTTAGAACATATGTGATTGAAACTGGATCATGTATTACAGGGAAAAAGGAAATTGCTAATGGGGCCCCCAGATCTCCTAAGCGTTGCTTGGGAGCCCCGCCTACCTAGTAACTCTATAATATCAGGCCAAGATGTAATCAATATTAAAGTAATGTAACAATTTATTGTAGCCCCTGCAGGAGTCTGTGGTGTTGTGCTGGCACCTCCTGTAGGAGCTGGAGCGAGTTCCCGGGCGGTTTTGTTCACTGTCGGATCTCCTCCACACTGTGCCACGGGCCCAGCTTGTGCTCATATGGTCCTTCGAACAAGAACAACCTCAGGTGAGGAGTGTTTATCTTACTACAGTCTTTAGCAAGTATTTGCAATGTAGCCTTTTGATGATGACTGGTAGACAAGTCTTTTAATCTGTTTGGGCTTCAGTTTTTTCTTTTCTTTCATTTTTATAAAATTATTCATCATCATGATGAACATTGTTATTGGTGTTAGAATACTGAATTTGTTGCGTTCAGTATACCAACACCAATCCCTCCACCATTGCACTTTCCCGCCACCATTATTTCCAGTTTTCCCAACCACCCTTCAAGACTGCCCCTGTAGCAGATCCTGAATATTTTTTTAAACTTTAGAAATGTATATGATATTAAAGCAGAATATCAACAATATCAAAATATCAAAAAGCCAAAGCCATGCTGAGACCACTCTCCACACGCTTGGACGAGGAACCAGGAGAGGAACCCAGGTGTGCGGGACCCAGGGCTGAGATCTCCAAGCCTGCTCAGTTCGGGACTGGGCCTCCTCCACCCAGCTCCCCCACCTTCCAGTAGCTAGACAGTTACACCCACCAATTGCCATGTAACCCCATCAACAGCCAGGATCCAGAGACTCTAAAACCAAGCTCCCGGAAGCCACAGCCACATGACCTCTTATTCTCTAGTTCTCACTCTCAGAGAACCCGGCAGGCTACTGAGAGTATCATACCTGCCTATATGCCTGATTAGGAACACCTGTAAAGGTGATTAGAGGCTGCCCCAAAAGCTTCCATCCCTCTTGGAGAGCCCGGCAAGCTACCGAGAGTATCCGGCCGCACAGCAGAGCCTGACAAGCTAACCGTGGCGTACTTGATATGTCAAAAACAGTAACAATGAATGGTCCTCATTCCTCTGATCTTGAAGGAACCCCCAATATGTCATCGGGCTACACAAGCACGTGACAGGGATGAATGGAGATGTTACTGGGCCCGCTCAAGCGAATCAGTGAATGTAAACTCACACAAGTAAGGGGGGCACGGCACTCACAGTGGCGATGGCTCTATCTCTCCTGCCGCCCGCGTTCGGTAGTCTCACCCTTCTCCCACCCCAGAGAGGTCGATGGCGATGGTCAGGCGGAGGAAGGAAATGAGGGCCAGGCTGGTTGGTATTAGTAGCAGTTTATTTCATTCCTCTCTCCATCTACACCAGTCTCTCTTGTCTGTCTCTGCTTCTGTCTCTGCTCTTGTCTCTCTCTCCTTCTGTCTCTGTTCTGTCTCTGCTTCTGTCTCTGCTCCCCCTGCCCAATCTACAGTCTCATTATATCTCTCCCCAAGAGGAATTGGGGAAACAATTACACATATCACAATCAGTAGGGGTAGAAATCAATAGGGGTAGAAATCTTAGCATCAGGGAAGGCCGCTCCTAGGACAGATCCTTTCTCAGCAGGAGGACCCACCCTAGAGCGGAATCCCAAGGGTGTGTCTCACCGCTCCTTGTCCACAAGCATATAAGAATATAATATAAATCATTTTGTATGGATACAGTAAGAAATATCTTAAACTTATAGAATTGCTCTCCTAGGGCCATCTCGATCTCAGACTACAGTGTTCAGGCCAGATAGTCTTTCCCACCCCTAGCAGGATCCTAGTCTCGTCGTTACTTTTGGATCATGACAGCATTTGTCTATGATCAAACTCTTAACTTATAGTTAAGAATCATGGCACTTTGGCCTGGCCCATTTCGATGCCAGGGTAGCTCACTGCTTGCCCTGGGTCCATTCAGTCCCTCGTCGGGACCCTGCTTTTGGGGTGTTAGGAACTAAGGGCAACTGAGGCTTAAGTCGAGAAAGCAGATGCCCGGGAGTGAATAATATTCAAAGCCAATCAAATCCTAAGTTATAAAGCGTAATGTTAACGGTCTTCCTGTATCTATACAAAAAGGTTATTACTTTAAAGTAAACTGTTCATAAGGCATAAGGAGAGGAGAAAGGCAATATTTCACTCATACATATAAAATCATAGATTTCTGGGAAACTGACCTTACAAATTAACAAAGTCTGATTAAGGAGAAAGCTGATTAACTGGGTGGGAAGGAGAGCATAGGGAAGACTGTTTACATGTAAACACAATGGAAGTGGAAGTGCCTCTGGAGCACTGTGGTGGGTGTAACCAGATTAATGGGTGTAACCAGATAAACCTAAGCTTCTTGTGAGAGAAGGGCAAAGCAATGTTATCCTACAAATGAACAACGGGATGATAGTGATTAAAGCAATATAACATAAGTGTGACTTCTCCATGAGGAAGCAGTGCTTCATATTTGTGGTGCTTCTTAGCTTTCATTGAAGGCTTATTTATTTATTTTTACTTTAGTGTAGGGGTACTGCTATTTATTCAGACATTGATTAAAGTGATTGAATTGGGCATGAACTCAACATTTCTTTTTTGTTAATTGAAATTTTAATATCTGTGAGAGACCATTACAAAGCTGTTCACAATTGGGTTTCAGTCATACAATGATCTAGCACCCATCCCTCCACCAGAGTACATCTCCCACCACCAACGTCCCCTGTTTCCCTACCACCATTCCCCAACACCCCACCCCCAGCCTCCTTCTATGGGAGACACTTTCCTTCTTGCTCTTTCTCTCTCTCTCTTTTTTTTTTTTTTTGGCGTGTGTGTGCATTATGGTTCGCAATACAGGTGCTAACAGGTCATGGTGTTTGTTCAGAGCATTCAGTTTTTTTATCATGATGGTAAGACTGGGGTAGCTTTTTAATTGGATGGCCACTTTGGAGTGTGGATGTCACTCCTGAGGGTTGCGGAAGTACAGGAGGTAGGGGAAGGTAGCCCATCCCGACCCCAAGAAAGCCTGGAGATTTCAGTCGCAAAACCCTCATACCCAAATTTTCAGCAGATTATGTCTGGGTGAGATCGGTCCTGAGATGGAGTCATGCCAGGGGCATGGTGGCAATTTTGGATTGTGGAAGCAAGCGGCTGCTGGGGCTCTGCTTGGACAGGCCCCAGGCCAATCCACCCCCCTCCCATTTGCCCCAGTCTGTTCAGCAGTGTGCAGGTCTGAGATGAACTGTGACCTTTGATCTCTTTTGAGATTTATTTGTTGGTCTCTGAAGCAAAGCTGGTAGTAGAGCTTACATGGTGGCACAGGAGTTGGTTCATGACAGTGACTGCCATTGCTTCCAGGAGTATTGGGAAGTCGGTGGAAATAGCCCATCCCAACTCCGAGAAGCCTGGATATTTCAGTCACAAAACCTGCATACCCAAATTTTCAGCAGATTATATCTTGGTGCGGTCCATCCTGAGGTGGTGGGGTCAGGCCAAATGTATGACGGTGATTTTGGATTGTGGAAGCAAGCCGCTGCCGGGGGCTCTGCTTGGGCAGGTCCCAGGCCAGCCCCTCCTCTCCCACTCTGATTTACCCCAGTCTGTTTAGCCATGTGAGGGTCCAAGATTAATTTAGGCTTTTGATCTCTTTCAAGATTTATCTATGGGCCTCTGAAATAAGGCCAATATAAGAGCTTGTATAGCTGAGCCGGAGGTGGTTTATGGGTGTAACATTTGGCCATTTAATTTCTTGGTAAACTTGGCCTCAAGTTGTTGGGGTCCGGCCAAAGGCACAGCAGCAATTTGGGGGTATAAGGAAGCCTGAAGGCAGGATCAGGCTGCTGATGCACTCACCCTGCAGGCACTGTACCCCCTGGGGGCTTATTTTGATACATCCAATAAATATTTTAGAAATGAGTGCTAGTTGTCTTTGGCTTTTTAGAAACCTTATTTTACTTTTTTTAAAAAATATTTTGGAGTTCTCATATTTTCACTTATTAAGTTCTACAATAATGAAGATTGTATTATAAAAAGGAAACGTGTGGTGTATTTGTTGAAAACAGAATACTCAAAAACTAGCTATGATAATCTTTGAATATTCTAGCTATGATATGACAAAATATAAATAATTAAGATAGAAGTGGAAAATGTTTTCTTTCTCCCAGCAAACTGCCTTATAGATCATATCATCTATGCACTATTGAGTAGGTTAACCAAAATATTAAGACAGTATTCATAGTGAACTTAAAATGAGGTATTGTTTGACATTTTGTATTTTGTACCTTGTGTCCTTTAAGTTCTCTTATGCTAAGTAGGTTATTGATAAAGGTGTCATGGGTAAGTGATATAAGTAGATTTTCAAAAAGAAAGTAGAAAAGAAAATATCGTATTGAGAAAGTAGCAAACCTATCATTAAATGTATAAACAGTGCCTAGTATCTCTAGTCTGTTTTGGGATGCTGTCTTGGAGAATTGAATCTACGACTGCATACTTGTACTTTACATTGAGCCTAAGTCTTACTCAACTCTAGTATCTATTATTTTTGAAGTTCAATTGAATCTGTGTGCTTACTCATGACTGCTCTAGAATGTAGTAAAATGGAGTCAGCATGGTTATGACTACTTTAGAAAGTAGAACTTCAGACACTGTAAAATGTTATAATACTTGATCTGTACAGTAATTCCATTATAATTCGTAATGAAATTTTGGAACATTTAGCCCAAAAAAATCATATGAAGGAAAATTTTCTTGGATTTTATTGTAATGTAAATACCTAATAGATAATAAAAACAGAAATTGTGTGTTTCAAAATGAGTGTTAGCCCAAGAATGGCCGAGATTAGTACCAGGAATTTTACTCCATGGCTTGGAGGCCAACCACACATGCGAGGGGAAAAGGGAGCTCAGATAGAGAAGGGAGCACCAAATAAAGGGTGTTGGGAGGATCCTCCCAGGATGGGAAAAGCATGCTGAAAGTAGACTATAGACCAAACATGACTGTCACCCATTGCCTCTTTTGCAAACCACAACACCCAATAAGAGAGAGAGAGAACAAAAGGGAAGGCCCTGCCACAGAGGCGGGGGGGGGGGGGGGGGGATGGAGGGGGGAGGGATACTGGGATCCGTGGTGGTGGGAAATGGGCACTGGTGGAGGGATGGGTATTTGATCATTGTATAATTGAAACCCAAGCACAAAAATTTGTAAGTCTACAAATGTACCTCATGATGTCTCACTAATAAAAATTTTTTAAAAAATGAGTGTTATGTTGACTTAGTGAGCTACTCTTCATTCATTGAGTTTCATAATAATGAAGATTGTAATGTAAAAAGGGGACATATGTGTGATGTATTTGTTGAAAACAGAATGCCCAAAATCTTGCTATGGTAGTCTTTGAATATTCTAGCCATGAAATGACAGAATATAAACAAGTAAGATAGAGGTGGAAATTGTTTCCTTTCTCCTGGCAGTAGTAGGAGTGGATGCAGAACCCCCTGGCTGGACTCACTAAGACCCTGTCCCTTGCTCTCTTCCTCTGCAGTGGGCTCCTGTGGTTCTGGAGGCTCCCTGTGCTCTGCCAGTGGCCGTGTGTGTGTGGGCTCCCCACCTGCACCATGCTTGGGGTCTTCTCCTGGAGCAGAGGCAGCTCCTGGTCTAAGATACATGCCTTATGGTGCTTCCCCCCCCAGCCTTGAGGGGCTCATCACCTTTGAAGCCCCTGAACTGCCAGAGGAGACACTCATGGAGGTAGAGAAGAGATCTTACGATGTGTTAATGTAATGTTGCTGCCAATCGGGGTTCTTGTGCTGATGAAAAAAAACAAAAACAAAATACTGGAGTTTTTCTTTCCATTTTTTTTAAAGTTTCTACATCTTTTTATTTAGGAAAATACATTGACAAGCACTTATATGTATAAATGTTGAATATCAGTAAAGTGGGGTGTAAGGGAAGTGGTCTTGAGAAAAGAGCCAGGGATCACCAGGGTCACCCCAGTGATGATTGGGGGAGGAGGGTCCATGGCCACCCAGTGGCAATCGAGGGCCATCAGGGTGGCTGGCTTAGACACATGATAGGCTGTACCCAAACTGCTCTACTATCTCCTGGTTCTCTGACTGTCATCCTATGGGGTGGGGGCAGGAGGCAGGCATTGGGGGCCATATTTGGCAATGCCCAAGGGGTGCTTGGGGACTTTTCCCAGCTTAGAGTGTGGGGGTTACACCTAGTGGTGCTTGGGGGATCATGTGGTGCGGGGGCTCGGTCTTGGGACTCCAGCATGCAAAATAGGTGCTCAGCCCTTTGTGCCATTTCCCTGGCCCCCTTTTCTTACCCACAAAGAAAGAGAGAAGTTTTATTTTACTTGAAATTTCAAAAATATATTAATAGCCAAAAACAATTCTCAAAACAATACTAATTATAGAATGATATTTATTTATTTATTTATTTAAAGTGGGAGCACAGATCTGGCTGTGCTCAGGGCTTATTCTTGTCCCTAAACTCAGGGCTCATCCCTGGGGTGGTGCTGGGGTCCACATGCAGTGCTGATGGTTGAGTCTAATCTGCTTCTGTTCAGGCATCTTAAGCCCTGCCTCGCTCTCTGGTTCATGGTGTTCATGTTTAGTACATGCTATTGTACCCACCTATACTCCCTTTTCTCAGAAAGAGAAATTCAGAGCTTTAGTGTGAGGAGATACTGTTAGCTGAAAACTCTTCAGAATTTAAGTAGAATTCACTAACCCCCAAGAAGTGTCGTTTTGTGTGCAGAATATCTTGATATCTATTTTGTCTCCATTACACCACAAATATATTGATTTAATCATTCAGAATTTTAGTTTTCTTGTATAAGAACAATGATCTTTTGAGGCTTAATTCTATGTGTATTTGCATGTCTGTACCTAACACGTCTACATTTGATTTCGTTTGTGTTTATTTTTTCACTACTTCTCCAGAATTTAAAGACCTTGGTCTTCTTTGAATCATTCTGATATTTCCAAGAATAGAACACTGTTAGTTTTTATAAAACTTATGACCATGACAGTAACCATAGATCATAAAAACCATAGAAACCAAGACCATAAACAAAAAACAAAAGCCCACAGTTCTTATACAGAAATGTGCGTGCAGCTGTGCCGACCCCAGAGGTCTCTGAGCCCCTCTGTCCTTGCTGCAGCGGGAGCATACGGACACTTTGCGCCACCTGAACGTGATGCTGACCTTCACCGAGTGCGTGCTGGACCTGACAGCCGTGCGGGGCGGGAACCCGGAGTTGTGTGCGTCCGCAGTCTCCCTGTACCAGATTCAGGAGAGTGTGGTCGTGGACCAAATCAGCCAGCTGAGCAAAGACTGGGGGTAGGTGCCTTCGTTCTCATTCAGCTCCAGGTTCTTCATGCTTCCCGTAAACTTGTGTCTGAGGTGAAACCTTGCCATCACTGAAGATCTTATTTCATGATAAAAAAAATTTTTTTTTTTTGCCTTTTTGGGTCATACCCGCCTATACTAAGGGGTTACTCCAGGCTCTATACTCAGGAATTACTCCTGGCAGTACTTGGGGGGATCGTATGGGATGCCAGGGATCGAACCCAAGTCAGCCTTGTGCAAGGCAAATGTACCCACTGTGGGCTGGAGCGATAGCACAGCGGTAGGGCGTTTGCCTTGCACGCGGCCAACATGGCCGACCCGAGTTCGGTTCCTCCCCCCCTCTCGGAGAGCCCGGCAAGCTACCGAGAGCATCTCGCCCACACGGCAGAGCCTGGCAAGCTCCCCGTGACGTATTCGATATGCCAAAACACAGTAACAAGTCTCACCGTGGAGACGTTACTGGGCCCACTCGAGAAAATCGATGAACAACGGGAAGACAGTGACAGTACTATCACTCAGGTCCTCATGATAAAATTTTAAGGGAGTCCAGCCCTTTGAGCTGTCTCCCTACACACCATATACCGCCCCCCCCATGCCACCTTTCTTTTCTTCCTAGTGCTGGGGATGGAGCCCCAGGTAAGACTTGCACTGCATCGTTGGGTCATATTCATCTGCATCTGGGCTGTGGGGAGGTTCAGAGGGATGGAGAGTACCCTGGCATGCATAAGGCCCACGTTTCATCCTCAGCGCCACTTGGGATAGCCCTTGAGACACCCACATACCACCAGGGTGACCTTCACAGCAAGGCCGAGTATCACTGGGACTGAGCTCCAAGTCTCCTGAACTCTGCTTGGAAAGCCCTCACCAGAAAAACTAATTATGCTCTTTTCTTGATGAACTTTATCCGTTGGAAATAGTCGTGCATTAAAGAATATCACAGAGAATAATAACACTTAAAAGGCAACTTCCTTCTTTCCTTCTTTCCCTCCATCCTCACCTCCTCTTTTTTGTTGTTGTTGCACCCAGCAGTGCTCAGTGCTTACTCCTGGTTCTGTGCTCAGGACCACTCCTGGCCGCCTCAGGGGAGAATATGGGATGCTGGGGATTGAGCCTGGGTTTACAGTGGCTTTTACTCACTGTACTCTATGCGCCCTTAAAAGCCTAATTCAGTGGTAAGCTGACATGTAGAAATTCCGGCATGTTGGGTCACAAGATCATTCTGCTTGCTCTTTTCTGGGTACAGTCGCGTGGAGCAGCTGGTGTTGTACATGAAAGCGGCACAGCTGCTGGCAGCATCTCTGCATCTCGCCAAAGCCCAGATCAAGTCCGGTAAACTGAGCCCATCCACGGCTGTGAAACAAGGTATGGGTGAATCAGGACAGCAGGTGACTGCGGGGCTGCTAAAGCTGTCTCTTTCCCAGTACACTGAAAAGTAAAATTTTTTATGAGGAATCAAATATTTTTTGAAAAAATTAATGTACCATAATTTACAGTTGAGTTATAGCTCAACTTATAGTTGGGTTTCAAGCATACAATACTATTAAATATTTGTTTCTTTCTCTGTTTTATTTTTATGGGGAGACCACACCTGGTAGTGCAGGTGTCTCTGTGCTCTGGAAATTCTCCTGGCAGAGCTTGTGGGATAATAATGTGTGACAGGGGCGGAACCTGTCTGGCTTTGTGCACGGCAGGCACCCTCCCCCTGTACCGCCTCTCCAGTCACTGTCACTTCATATCCCTGAGTACTCAAAAAAAGATGCTGCAGGCTTTCTTCCTCCGTTTAAGTGATTTGTGGTGCTTATTCTCTCTTTCTGTCTCTCTCTCAATTTGCTTTTTGGGCAACACCCAGTGGTGTTAGGGGGCTACTCCTATTTTGATGCTACAGGGCTATCCCTGGTGGTGTTTGGGGGAGCTGTGTGGTCACAGGGATCAAGCCCTGATCCCTGTATATGCTGGTCATGTTTAACCCATTTAGCGTTCCCTCTAGTTCATTCATCATTCTCTTTAATAAGCAGGAAAGGTGAATATAATTGTGACTTTATTTTAAGAGAAAAATTAAAATTAATTTATATCTCAACTTTTTTAGTTGTCAAAAATTTGAATGAAAGATATAAATTCTGCATCACCATGTGCAAGAAACTTACAGAAAAGCTGAATCGCTTCTTCTCTGATAAGCAGAGGTTTATTGATGAAATCAACAGTGTAACTGCAGAAAAGCTCATCTACAATTGTGCTGTAGAAATGGTGAGTCTTAAGGTTTAATGCTGCTTGGTGCCAGTGATCTTTAAGAGTATCTGTTAGAATGAAAATTAACTTGTCAACTTTTATTTTTTAGAGAGCCCTAGTGGTGCTGAAATGCAGGACTCACTCCCAGTAGGGCCTGTCAGCTAGGTGGTGCTCGGAACCAGCAGAGTGACCCAGGCAGTACTCAGGGTCCCCAGGGCCACTCCTGCAAGTGGTTGTGACTGTGTGGTCAGGGCTTAGGAGGCAACAGATGTGCGTTCCCCTGAGCTATCTCCTCACTTCTCATGATCTAGCCAGAGGTTCCCAGACTTACTTGGTTTCTGTTCCCTCTTGGCTGGAGCGATAGCACAGCGGGTAGGGCGTTCGCCTTACATGCGGCCAACATGGCCGACCCGAGTTCGATTCCTCCGCCCCTCTCGGAGAGCCCGGCAAGCTACCGAGAGTATTCGATATGCCAGACACAGTAACAACAAAGTCTCCAATGGAGATGTTACTGGGCCCGCTCGAGCAAATCGACGATCAACGGGAGGGCCTTTACTTACTTTACTTTTACTTGTTGGAGCGATAGCATAGCGGTATAGAGTTTGCTTTGCATGCAGCCAGCCCAGCGGAGCCGGGTTCAATTCCTCCGCCCCTCTCAGAGAGCCCGGCAAGCTACTGAGAGTATCTCGCCCTCACGGCAGAGCCTGGCAAGCTACCCATGACGTATTCAATATACCAAACACAGTAACAACAAGTCTCAAAATGGAGACGTTACCGGGCCCACTCAAACAAATCGATGAACAATGGGAGGACAGACAGTGTCCCTTCTCGGAAAAACAAAAACAAACAAACAAAAAAAGCTAGCAGTCGCTTCCCCCTTCCCCTCCCAAAATCTGCCTTAAGAGGACAAAAAGAAACTGTCCCCCACTAGCACCTCAGACTGCTAAAACAGTCTGCCCCACAGATCTGTCCGGGACACTCTGGATTGTCCAGAAGTCCTGGAGTGGGAGTGATATCGCCCACTTTGGGAGATACTGATGTAGATTTTGGTGTTTTTGGTTTGTTTCCGTACAATACTATATGAGGCTTAGGGAATGATGCTGTGCTTTAAAATGCCTTTAAGAGCGTTGTCCAGCGCTTTGACTACCTGCCCAGTCCTTGTTATTCATCCCATTATAAAAGAGTTAATGACATACTAATTTCAAGTTCCAAGTTCTATGATTAACTTTCAGTTATCAAAGAAACATTGAAAGAATTAACAGTAGATGCATATTTTGCATATATAAAAAACATTTTATATATTTTACATATCTGAATATTGTTTGTGATTTGTTTCTATATTTTCTATCATTTAAGAAATTTTGGCTTGATAAAAACACTAGGAAAAAATACTGCTATACTAAAATAGCTAGTGTGCTCAGATTCCACTTGAGTATAGATCAAAGCCAAATCTTCTTTTTCAGTTAACTTGTTATACTTTGGAAATACTAGTTTCTGTTTCCTGGGAAAGAAATTGCACTGAAGTCTAGATGAAGCTAAAAGATTATTAAATAAATAGCTAGTGGGAGAAAATTAACTATTGATCAATTTACTATTTTTAACACATTATCGTAATGGACCTCTTACCCCTAAAATTTGTCCATTTGGGTTAATTTTCTTGCCTTTGAAAGATTTTATAATAAAGACAGTTTTGAAAGATAAACTGTTAGCAAGAGTGACATACATTTATTTGCTCTAAACTATCAACATGAATAGTAGGTATGATATCTCACTCTACTGAATTAAAATGTTACATATATTTTTTGTGGTGCCAGGTGTCAAACCTAGGCCCTCACATACACACATATATGTATATGGGGAAGAGGAGGTGCTCTGAGCCACCCCTGTCAGTGCTCAGGGCTGAGCCTGGCTCCAGTGCTCAGAAGTGAGCCCAGAGAGCCCTTTGCCCAGCAGACAAAATGTGCTGGTGATCCAAACTAGGATAGCCCTCGTGCAAGTCAAGTGCTTTACCTCGTATACAGCCAAAAAATAAATGATATTTTAAAAATAATTCTTGTCAGGAAAAATGTCCTGACAAAAATTATTTAATCCTAGGCAGCAAACGAAAAAGAAAAGGCTCACGTGACGCTCCTTTTTCCTGATAAAGCTATATAACATGAATAAGTTCCCCTTTTTTTCCTAAACTGTCAACACTACTAAAGGTAGTAAATAAAGTAACACCAGTAAACCAACACTTAAATTTAGTTTTGTTCCTTTTCAAGACTTATCATCTGTATCTTATAATTATCACATTATAAACAGTTTTAATTTGTATTTTTAAAAAAATAGCATATTAACAAATTAGGATATTGAGTTAATGAAAGTACTGGCATTTAATGATTCAATCAGTTGGGCAGACTTCTCCTTAGGAAGTCTATGATAATATTTCCATACCTCCTTTTAGAAAGCTCCCACTGTTCCCATTGCCCATGGCCTTGGTCTCACTTCTTTAACACTGTCAAAACTGTCAACTCCTGGAGACTTTTCCTGAATTTCTCTTCCTTCTGCAGTGGGTTGAATGTATCTTATCAGCACTCCTTACCATCTAAGGCTTCACCAATAATGCACACCTCTCAGAGTTAGAGTAGCGTGTTTCAAGGCTTTTGTCTCCCTCTAGACTGTGAGTTTTTTCTCTGTAGATTGCTCAGTGCCTGGCACCAGGAGATGCCCAGTCAGTATCTGCATGAGTCAGTGATTACATCTAAAAATTCTCCAGTTAGGAAAAAAGCTGATGAGTTATTTTAAGATAATGTGGTTAGTTTGTTGTTTAATTATCCACTTTAATGAAATACCAGATGACTTTAATGTGAAAGTATATGTTTAAGCTTTTCATTGAAGCCATCAAAGATTCAGTTTACAAAAATACAGTTTTTGAATTAAATCTATATATAAGAAGGCTATTTTGAACAGTACGTTTATTATGAAACTCCTTAATACTGTTCATCTGAATGTATCTTTAAGTTTTATTTTTACAGTTACATAGGTTGCTTTATTTCATCAAAATTTGTTAACTTTTTAGGTAGATACATTTAAAGCTGTATGAATTTTTCTCTTCTTGGAAAAGTTGAAAACCTTCTGTTTTTTCAACTCCCCAGGTTCAGTCTGCAGCCCTGGATGAGATGTTTCAGCACACGGAAGATACTGTTCACCGCTACCGCAGGGCAGCCCTTCTGTTGGAAGGCCTGACCAAGATCCTTCAGGACCCTGCAGATATTGAAAATGTGCATAAATGTAAGTTGATTTGAAAATAGGGCACTTTGTCTCCTACAGGTATATTAAGAGGGGTCTGGAGTTTAGAATCATACTTCCTGGGTTTGAATCTTGACTTTTCCAACCTTGGGTTAATCACTTTTCTCTAATCCCAGTTTCTTCTCCTGGAATGTGGAGGATGAGGCCAGAGCCATAGTACAGTGGGTAGGGTGCTTGCCTTGCACACTGCTGGCCTGGGTTCAGTTCCCAGCACCCCATGTGGTCGTCCAAGCCCCGCCAGGAGTGATCTCCGAGTTCTGAGCCAGGAGCAATCCCTGAGCACCACCATGTGTGGCCCAGTGCCCCACCCCACCCCACTCCACCCCAAAAAATATGGGGAAACAGTGCCTTCCCTACAGATTTTTGATAATAATAGTTGTAAAGAGTGGAGATAGAATATCAAGATGATAATATTACTAATCAGACACAGTAACATCGATTTTTTGGGGGAGTTGGTGGCCCCCTTAGGGTGCTTATAGTTTTACCACATTCTGAAGAGCCAAAAGGGGATGGTGGTTGTAAAATTATTTAATGAGCATGCTAGCTGTTGAAACCATATATATATTTGTGGAGGTAGGGGAGGTAGGGTGCACACCAGGCACAGTGCTTGGGGGACCATCTGGAGCCAAGAACTGCGACCTCAGAACATCTTCCAGACCTTCAAACTATGTTTTTCACTTAACATGCTAATCTAAATATTACCACTGTGCAGCGCAAAACTAAAAACTCTGCTAAACAGGTAAGAAGAAGAAAAAGTGTTGAGTTTTTAACTTTGACTCAAAGGTAAAACAAAGAGGATGCAGTTAAAGTTACTGATATTTGTCATGTCGTATTGGTTTTGAAAATGTTTTATTAAATTAATTTGTTATTTTATTTCTAGATAAATCTAGTATTGAAAGAAGATTGTCAGCCCTCTGCTACAGCACTTCCTCAGCTATGTGAGCAACAGCAGGTGGTGTCCTAAGGACCACTGGTGCAGTGAGAGATGATTTGGCTGGCAATAGAGGTCATCACCCTGTCGTCAGAAATGGCAGCTTCTTAACTGGTGACTACCAAAGAACAAGCTGTGATTTCAGAAAGGAAAAACAATCCTGAGCTACACACTTGTAGGGAATCTGCCTTACTGGAGAAGTTACCCTTCCCTTTTCTCTTTGTAGAAGCCAAAACAAGAGTTTTCCATTTGACTTCCAGCTTGAACTTGGTATATCTATATGTATCTTAGAACTAGAACTATCAGTGCAGTCGTCATAAGGACAGTTAGAGTGAAGCATATTAAGTGACTCCGCATTCAGATCACCAGAGCAATATGTGAAATTCCACGTTGTTTGTTGAAGGTTAGGAAAAACAAAAATCTATGTCTCAGAAAACAAGACAAAAAAGAACAACAGCAACAAAAAAAATGTATGTCTCATCCAGGCAAATTAACATTTGGGGTAAGTTTGTCTTCACTCTGAGCATACATCCTTAAGCAGCTCAGGAAGAAATAGCTTACGAAGTGAAAGGCCACTCTTGAAAGAAATTGTGAAAGTCTTCAATTTGATCAGATATGAACACATGTTAATCTTCCAGAATCTTTCATGTTGCACTAATTTATTAAAAAAAATGTATTGGATTTTGCGACTTAAAACTAACTGAGGCACAATGGACTTGTTTCAAATATTTTACTTGATTATATACATATATTCTTTCCAAAATTCACATGTAATCTCTAGTGGACTTTTAAATGGTAAAATTTGTGTTTATGTGAATCTTTGTATTTTTTTTAACCTATTCATATATACCTACATATTTTCTCAGTGGTATTTTGAGTTGCTTGTTTGCGTTTGGTTGCATTTTTTTATTGTGCATGCAGAACGTGCATTGATGCCTGTGACCTCTAGGTTTATTAAAGATTAGGTTTATTTGGGCAGTATTAGGGGGAAAAATACCGATCAGGAGATACTCTCAAGAATTTTATTAGAGCCAAAACAAAGTTGGTGATAAAGGCTTGTTCGTGATGTAAAGTTTCTACATGAAAGTGAAAATGAAGTTTGTTTCCTCTTAGGACATGGGCAGCCCTCTCAGCCTGTGGTGTGTTTCCTCAGTCCCGGCGGTTCACCAAATAGCTGGTCATGGAGAATGTGGGCAGTTGTCGTCCCTCCAGAAATAGTTTCTTCACTGGTATACTATTTGATTTCTTTTACTTACCTGCTTGAATACTTGAATAAACCATTCTCCAGTTTTAATTTTTTTAATTTTAATCCTTTTGGATACTAAAATCTGAACTCTGACAAATTACACAAAACTTGTTAACATTGATCTAATTTTAGTGTACTTATAAACACGAACAAAAAGTTTTGCTTTACTTTAATAATATTATGTAATTTTTACCTTATTTATCTGTATGAAATTCCAGCAGTTAATTTGAGCATTTATTTATATGATGTTTGTATTTTTAGGTCTTTAATACAGTGTTTCTACCTCTCATTTGTAACTGCATGCATTATTCTTGAAACTAGGTAAAACTCACCAAATCATTGTGTAATAATAGCTTTTTTATTATTGCCTGTACAGCTGTATATTAAGATAAAAATGAAACTGACACAGTGTTTTTAGGGTGCAGCTAGGTCCATGCTAGATGACCAGGATGGCCAGGTCCTTCCTCAGTTGAGTTTGGAGGCGTGGCCGTTAGCACCCTTTGTCCTAGCCCAGGGATTTTGATTCTTGGTGACTGTCATGCAGGCTGCCAGGAATATAGATTGTGGTGTTGATTCCTACCCTTTCTAGGCAAGGTTTATAAGCACTGTTATTAGTGACGTCTGTTTTTTATAATTTTTTCCCTGCGTTCACAGGGCAGTTTCATTTGAGTTCTCTGTATCTCCCATTTTATCTCAGTTCACTGCAGGAATGAGTTTCTGGGTGCCCTCCTACCCTACGCTTCCCTCCCTACCCTCTCACCTCTAGACAGGATGAGGCAGGTTGCTCACAGTGGGAGTGTGATTGGCCTGAAATCAGGTGACCAGGCACGTGGTTATAACCATACCATACGTTGCGACTCCTACACCCATTCTCCTTTCTCTGTCATAAGCAAGGTCTGTGGTGGATGGTGTGTGTGAAACAGGTCTGACAGCAGAGAATGACAAACTGTAAATTCATGAATTCTGATTATACTTCCATTATCAAGGCCAATTGTTTTAAGAAGTTTTTGCCTTGATTATAGCAATAATAAACAAATGCTTTATGTTTCTGTGAGTATTTTTTAATTTCATATTGTTTGTTTTGTAAAATGGAAATGGACTGTTCCACTTGGTTTGAAAGTTCTTGGGTTGACACCTCTATTCAAGCCATAATCTACCCCATCATTGACCTTATAACTGTTAGTAGAAGAGTGATAGGTGAATTTGCCAATTGCTGACCTGGACTTGATAGTTCCTGTATTAACTTGCTCCTTCTCTCAAGGAATACCAGAGTAGCCTTGGTTTTCCCCTTCCTGGAGGTAAAGAGAGGAACCAGGAGTAGGGATTATGATTAGTGCTGAGTTATCTTAGGACCTCCACAAGGCATTAAGAAGGAGGTAGAACGCAACATAGTGTTCATGAAGCGATTGACTCAAATACTTAAAAAAGGTTCTGAGGTTATAGAAGTGCATAGGCCTTGAGGGACTTCTAATTGGCAGTTTCTGTAAGCAGTGTTAAAATCCTTCTCTTCAATAATTAACAGATTTCTAGTTCTGAAATAAAGCAAGGTTATATTCCTCTGTGAAGATTCCCTATTCACATTTTACTAACACTTGTTTTTGGTTTTTTATATATGGGCCATACCTGTACCTGGTGGTCCTCAGGGGCAACTCTTGAGGGGTTGCTCCTGGCGGTGTCTGGGGGCTTCAGACCTGGACCTCTTGTATGTAAAGCGTGCATCCCAGCTCTTGAAGCTGTCCACTGGTCTCTACTGGAGTATTTACTGTTAGAGTCCTTGATGTCATCCTTCCACTCAAAGTACATCTTAGTACCTGTTTTGAAATGGTCTTGAAGGCAGTTACTTTTGGGTGCTGAACCCTCAAATCTATTGCTATAGAAGCTGTAGGACCTACTCAAACCTCTCCTTTGTCATAATTCTTTTTTTGTTTGTTTGTTTTGTTTTATTTTTGGCCAACCCAGGAGTTATTCATGACTCTGCTCTTAGGAATTAGTTCTGACAGTGCCTGGGGTACCATATGGGGTGCCAGAGATTGAACCCAGGTCTGCCGCATGCAGAACAATCACCCTAACTGCTATATTATCACTCAAGCCCCAGTCTCCTTTGTCATGACTCTTATGAGAATACTTTTTTGAAGGAGAAGACAAGATGGCATTTTCCCCATCTGAGCACCTGAGTTAGGGCAGACAGCATCAGAAGTGATTACCTAGAAAGCACTGCTTAGCAGAACACTGTCCCTCAGTCCCTTAAAACCTCAGCTTGGGTGGAAGCACCATAGTCAGAAAGTGAAGAGATCTGTGAGAGTCAGTGGTCAGACAGAATGGGGAGAAAGGGCAGAAGCCGAGTGCCTGCTCCCTGCATGCCCTGCAGCACAGGGTCCCAGCACAGCCTCCCTGCTCTGTGCGGAGGGTGGTAGGCCTCCTCTCACGGAGGACCGCTCAGTGGCTTATAATGTACATGAAGGCCTTTGGGTTTTAGTGTATTCTGTTTGTTTTTTACTTTTTGGGTCACACCCAGCAATGCTCAGGGGTTACTCCTGTCTCTGCACTTAGGAATCACTCCTGGCAGTGCTCAGGGGACCATATGGGATGCAGGGAATTGAACCCATGTCGGCCGCGTGCAAGGCAAACACCCTATCCGCTGTGCTATCGCTCTAGCCCCACTGTGTTCCATTTTTAAAAAATGTTTGGCGGTGGGGGTTTGGGGGTTCACCCACACCTGGCAGTGCTCAGGTATTGCTCCCAGCTCTGCACTGAGGAATATACTCCTGGCAGGCTGGAAACTATTTGGAATGGTAAGCTGCATAGCAGGCCAGCTCCATGCCCGTTGTACTGCCTTTGCAGTGCCAACTGTATTCCCATTTAACAGTCTCCAAAGCACCTCCTGGTCGTGACTCTGAGCTGGGAGACTGCAGAGGTGACTGAGCATTGGTGCTAAGTGCCCCATCCAGGTGTCCAGGCTCCCCTGAATCCATACTTGTGGTGTTGTGGACTGGGCTCTCCCAGACTCCCACTGGACTCATCACTTGGCACTTTTCACGCTGAGCTCCCTCCTGTCCTGGGACCATCCTGCTCTTTGAGGCTTTGCTTCATCACTAGGAAAGGCCACTCACTTCCTCTCTGAGAACCGGTCATTATCTCATTGGGCAAAGTGCGTCCTGCAGCTATATCTCCTTGAGCAGAGAGACTGTAGAGCAGTGGTGAGAAAAACAAGCTACTGATGTGAACTTTTGGACACCAACACTGCAGCTTGTGTTAGTTCAGCACCATTCCTGCCCTTGCATACCCACAAGGCCCCTTGCTTTTAGACACCCTAACAGTTCTAATAAAATATTTATATCACTCTGATATTTGTTTCATTGATTTTCGTACCAAACCTTACCTCATTTTGCAGATGGGAAAAATTGATTTGGAAAGTAATTTCTCCAAGGAAAAAGGCCTCATCGCTGCCTCGTAGCAGAAGCAAACAGCATCAGGGATCTGGACTGCCAGGGCCTGTCTGGGGAGCAGCTGGCGCACTGCCTCCCACTGTACACACGCCAGCAGCATGAACGCTGCTAAGCTCAGATGAAGAGTTTTCCATTCCCAATGTGTGTGATGTCTCAAAAAGACATTCTCAGTTCTTAATTCAGGTGAAAAGACTGGAGAAAAACTGGAAACATTATAAAGTCAAAGCCAGATATTGTAAGAATTCAGGATTTGGGCCAGTGTATAGATTAAAAAGCAAAAACCCTCCAAAATGAGTAAGAAATAATCTGATATCTTCAAAATAAGTTACTGAAACACATTTTTCTCTCCATATTCACCCAATTTTACCATCATTGTAAAAGTAATTTGTTCACATATCAGGTCTGATTTCAGTAAAATTGGTCCGTTTGGTTATATAAGCATAGTGGGAGAAGAAATAATCATAGATTCTTTTAATTTGGTTTGGTGCATCCTTTTTTGAGGAATCTCAGATTGAGCTCTTAGCCTGGAGAGGTTCAGGAATGGGGAATTTGATGTTCTTGGGTACCATGGGGTCTGCTGTTACCCCCTCCATTGTTTGGAGAGGCAGCACTTTTCTAGAAGCAGGTGAGATTAGCTTTGTATCACCTTGGACTGGAGCCGAGTTGGTTTCAGAAAGCACCGTTGAGAGTCCCAGAGAGGGTTCGATGATACATTCACAAACCCCGTCTCTGTGGAAGTTTGACTGGCACAGTTGCCGCTTCCCTGTTTGTTCCCCCGCCAGCGTGACTGGGTAGTGGGAGCTGGTGCGGTTCCCTAGGAGGAGCCCACCCCCCCGCCCGTCTCTGGGTCTCCACAGCTCCTCCTCGTCGGGAACTGGTTCTTTTGTTTCCCAGGGAGCATCCTTAGCTTTCCCTGTTCTCTCAAACTAAACCAGCTAAAAGTGAACTTAGGAATCCTCTTACGGAACCAAGTACAGGCAACTGGATTGGCATGGAATGGCTGTGTTGAGGGTGGAAGGTCAGTTTACAGTTCCTAGTGCAATCCCAAAATATTTTGAGCCTGAAGCTCTGTGTGTGTGTGTGTTGTTGTTGTTGTTGTTGTTGTTGTTTTGTTTTTGTTTTAATTTCTTACTGAGCCAGGTACCTGGCGTTCTGGGCTTCAGGTACCCTGTCTGTAAGGTGTAGAGAGTAATTGAAATTAAATCTCAAGTTCATTGTTAGGATCAAATGAAATAGTTCAGGGGATGTACTTAGGCTGGTTCCTAATGAAGAAGCAGCTCAGTGAGAGCCCAGACCTGCACCAGAGACAGGGGAGGGGCCTGTGTCTGCTCCCTGGGAGGCCTGCTGGAGAGTGGGCTTCTATTTCTTTTCCTTTTTTTGGTTTTGTGCTACACCCAGCAGTGTTCGGGGATCACGTGGCAGGCTCAGGGGACCATATGCAGTGCCAGGAGGACCAAATCCCAGCTGACCATCGGCAAGGCCAGCACCCTGACTGCTGCACTGTCTCTCCAGCCCTGCTTTTGTTTCTTGGTCTGTTACCTGCTGCACACTCTTTGACACTTCTCCAGGGCTATGGATCTTCTTTTCCACTAAAAATGTGCTAAAATAACTTTCCAAGACAAGTTAATTTTGAATATAAATTAGTTATGAACTTGCTAACCAGAGAACCAGAGAAATGAGCAAATGATATAAACACTATGGCTGTTTTTTAATAAAATGGTGCTTATTAAAGAACCAACTTATGGTAAAGATTACACTTCACATGGGCATAAAAATACTGGTTTGGAGGCCTGCCTGGTGGTGCTCAGGACATACTCCTGGCTCTGCACTCAGGGATCACTCCTGTTGGCGCAGCAGACCATGTGGGGTGCTGAGGATGTAACCCTGGAAAGCACCCTACCCGCTGTACTCTCTCTCAAACCTTTAAATGGTAAATATTTAAGGCTCTGAGGACCAAAAGGTCTTTTGCAAATAGTTTAGCTGTTATACTTCAAAATGCAGCCCAGACAAACAGTGATTATGGCTGTGTTTATGTACGTAGTCAATAAAACTTTGTAAGTACAAAACTTGTATTTTGATTAATTTTCATGTGTCATGAAATATTCTTTTTCATTTTTTTTCCAGGCACTAAAAAATGTGTACAGACCATTCTTATTTTGAAAGCCATGAACCCAGACTGTGGGTAGCTTTTTGTGAGCCCCTTGTGTATCCTTTAATACAGACATTCAAGATGCACATGTTAACCATAGAGAGCTGGTTTTCCTTGCACACCAGAGGAGCCCAGCAGGCCAGCTGCGCGTGAGCCTGTGTGTCAAAGGAGAGCACGTGGCAGCACTCCGACTTTTGCTTTTTGTGTTTTGTTGTGAGGTTTTGTTTTGTTTGTTTCTTGGGTTTTTCTTTTGGGGGGGGTGCATGGTTGGAGTGGGGGGCCACACCCAGCAATGCTCAGGGTTACTCCTAGCACTGTGCTCAAGAATTATTCCTGGCAGTGCTCAGGGGATCATATGGGATGCCAAAGATGAAACCTGAGTTGGCCATGTGCACGGCAAACACCCTGCCCATTGTACTGTTGGCTCCAGCCCTAACTCTTCCACTTTTCAAGAGAATT